GTGCTCAGTCACAGCTAAAATCCTGCACTTTGGTAGCTTTAAGATTCTCTCTGGGCTTTGTTTGATCCTATTTACTTACAAGCGAGTGAGGATGCCAAATGTTATTAATTTTTCTTTCCTGGAAATCTTGTGTTAGTGGGATCTGAAGACCATCCAGATGGCGACTGGAGTTGCAAACAAGGATTTGGTGGTGACACTGCAGCAGACCTGTGGTGTGAGGGAACCAGGCACAAGGAAATCCATTTCTGTCCCTGTGTGCAGATCTCCCAGGGAGTGTCTGTAAAATGAAAGAGGCACTGTGACATGTCCTGCAGTGCTGGGCAGGAGCTGACAGGACGGGACAGCCCCTTCGTGGTGTGTCCTCGCCAGTCATCTGCAGGACCTTAATCTTTTCCTTCTGCGGAAGGACAGCAGATAATCCTTAATAATCCATCAGGAGTGTGCACAAAGTGAATTCTTTGAATTCCTGAAGGTGGAAATCTTCATCCTGAGCCTTGGTGGAGGATCTGCAGTGTTGGATGTTGGAGGTGCTGGGACACTGGGCTGCCTGGCTGTGCCTGTAGGGACAACGCTGCCTGAATTATGGAGTCTCTTTATAACCACCCACAGCCTGCTAGGGCTTCTCTTTATTCTTCCCTGCAGCTCTGCTGTTTTCTGTGGGATGAATTGATCTCAAATAGCTTTTAAGTAAAGTAAAAGGTATCGATGATCTTTGATCCAGCTTTGTTTCTGCAAGTGAAGAAGATTCCTTCACTTTGGTTTTTGTGTGAACAGTAAATTTAAAGTCAATACATCCCTAACTGGGAATTAGAGTTGTAAACAATCCTAGTTGGTATTTGTTTGACTTTAGTCAAACTAAGATTACCTGGCTTTTATTCTGCTAAGAAATTCAGTGATATTTGTTGCTAGATGATTAATTTTTTATTTGGGAATTTCATGAGTTTATCTGCTTGGAAGCTGAAGTCAAAATAAAAATTAATTAAACTAGCGTCTTGTTCACTGCTGAAATCCAGCTCATTTTTGCAGGATGCACGAGGCAGAAACATTGTTAAAACATGTCTAACAGTGCTAAACAAGGGAAATCTCAACTTGTAGAATCACTTGGCCAGGTTTTCGTAGGTATGGAAGTGCTGAAGGGATTTTCAAACACGTTTAAGCAGCTGTCTGCCAAAGCATCAGGCTTTATCTTTCATTTGAACACCCTGCTGGATTCAGAGTACTGGTTCTGTGTGGCTGCCTTTCTCTCTAGAAATGTGATCCTATGAAGATTTTATTATGATTATTTTTTTTTAAATACAGGATCTCTAAGAGGGAATGAAAACATCCTGCTCTTGAGAAAAGCTGGAGCTGAGGTGTCTTAGCTGTGAAGCATCTGGTCCATGTAAATAAACTGTTCCTGCAGCTGGCTCTAAACAAGAGCTGCTCCTTCTCAGTAGGATCTGGCAGTGCCTGTGCTTGGCTGCGCCGTGCTGAGTGAGCAGGGACAAGTCCTGGAGGCCCAGCCAAGGCTTGGGCCAGTGCTGGAGCCAGAGGCTCTGCTGCCTTTTAGGCAGAACTGTGAAACGCTGTTCTTTAGCTCATTATACCTAGAACTGAACGATGCCAAAGATTTATGACATCATTTTTTAAATAGCAAGTTCAGGCTTCACAATGCACTTTAATTTAAAATTATATGTCAAGTTGGCTTATTTAGTAATGTATTTGCTATTTCTTTTCATCCAACTTCCATTACTGCTAAATATTTGTTATAAGAATTTCACAGGTTCCTTAGAGCTACTCAATTCACTTGAGGCCAGACTGTTTTGCTAAATTTGTTTCAATAGACCAAGGCAGAAAACTAGTAAAAGTGCATAAAACTTTCATGCTTTCCTGTATTTTTGAAATGAATTTGTTATGCATTAATATCTGCAAGTCTTATGTAAGAAAAGGAACTAAATGCTCAGTTTCTAGTTCTACTTGCTCCTGGCTGCAGTATTTTGTAAGAGGGTGTTCTCAGAGCTTTTCCAAGTGTTTATCTGCACTATCCCTTTGTAAGCATGAAATGTTAAATAAAATATGAAATGTTGGCTCATTTTCTAATCCTCCTGAACAAGTGCTTCCTGTTTGGACAGAAGGGTGAGGTCACTGTGCCCCCAGGAGGGGAAGACAGTGGGTGATGTTGGCCATCATGTGAACCAAAGGCTGACACCTGAGAAAAAGATATTAAAATAAATAACTTCACTTTGGTTTTCCAAAGTGGCTGTGGACACCCTTGAATTTTCCACATGCCCCTGGAGCCTGCATTTGGCTTCAGAGCAGCCACCATTTGGTCTCAAAGGTCACAACTTGTGTTGTCAGTGTTGCTGCCTCTAAACCCCTAAAGGCCCTTTTAACTTATGGGGTTTTGTTTTACACTGATACAGTTTTTTGTTTTATTTTGTGCTTTCAAACATGTATTTTGTCCTCTTTAAGTTGACTCTAAAGGTGATACTTAGGTCACTGTGTTGGCTGAGACTTGAGTTCAGGACTTTGGGTGTGCTAAGGACAGCATTGCCACAGGCTGTGCTCAGGGTCAGGACCTGCTCTTGGTTTTTCCAGGTATCCCAGAAGACCCAGAGGCTGTCACCTGGCTATGAAGGGAATTGATTTGCCTGGAATTTCTTCTCTCTTGCTCATAGCAGCCACTTCCCACAGCTCCTCCAGCAGCAGCGACACCTGGCCAGGAGGAAGGGGCAGAGCTCTGCTCTCCTGAACCCCAGTGGCAGGACACGGTGCCAGATGGGTGTCCCAAATGTCCTTTAAATGTGCTGGAGCATCTGGATTGAGTCCCTGCAAACACAACCAGCCATGGGTGTCTGAATTTGAGGGGAGGGGATTATCCTGTTCAACAAAACAGTCATGGATTACTTGATGGAGCCTGGCTTCAGCTCCAGGATAATGCATAATGCTTGCCCAGCTCTTTGAGCACATGGTGTTAAATACACATGGACTAATCCTCATAGGAATGTGTCCTGTGCTGCCCTGTCTTTTCTACTCATTAGCAAAACCATGGCCCTGGCATGGTGGTTTTATTTCTCTCTGACTTATTAATGCTGAGAAGGGGTGTTCCCTTACAGGAGCACTGAAACTTTGCAAGGAAAACGATCCCGTGGTGTGTCACAGCTCTGAAATGGCTCAGCAGGGGTGTGGGGGGTGAAAATGGGGTCCACAACATCCAGAACCAGTGGTTGTGGATCAGATGAACCTCAGCAGCAAATGTTTGTCCTCCTTTCTTCAGGGTCCCATGGGGTGAAGCTGAGGCTTCTTAAAAGGTCACCAGAGGCTGGGGGTGGGGAGTGTGTGCACCACTGTGACAGGACACAGATTCCAAGTCTGGCCTCTGAGGGCTTCAGCCCATTCTGGGAGTGTAAAAGAAATTTTAAAGGCAGCAAAGAGTGTAGGTTTTGTAGGGGCTTATGTTGTTTTGAAACTGGCACCTGGACCTGGACTGCTCAGTAAACAGGCAGCCAGAGTCCTAGAACAGGCTGGAAAATAGCTGTGATGCTTTTTAAGGAATTCTTTGGAGAGGAACAAGTGATCCATTTCTGTACAGAATGACTGTAACTGCCAGAGTAGAATCATAGAATCTGCTGAAGGGAGGGGACCCATCAGGATCACTGAGTCCAGCTCCTGGCCCTGCACAGGACAACCAGAGAATCCCAGCATGTGCTGGAGAGCTTGTCCAAGTAAGTTTAGTAACTTAATAATTTATAATTAATTGCTAAATTGTGATTTTGGCAACCTAAAATTGCCCAAACGGGCGATTGTAACTTTGCCAGTTACAATATTTGTGTTGAAGCTGCTCAAATGGCATATGCAGTCCAATGGGGAGTGTGTTTAAATTGGTTCTTCCTTGAGCTCTGAGCTGTAAATCAAGAACACTGGAGAGCTGAGCATCCCTTTTCCAGGAAGGCATAGACAAACATTGCTCTGAGCAACTTTTCCCTTAAAACTTGGCACTTTGAAACCAAGCCTTGAGACTCTTATAATTAGGAAAAGAAAGTAGAAACTCTTAAGTAATTTATTTTTGTTGAGGGCGGTGGCTTTGGTTTTTGAAATTTGCATCCTGGTCTGGTTCTTTTACCTGGGAGGGTCGGAGTGAGAGAAATAAGGAAACGACTCCTCCTGTCCCCACTCATCTTGTCTGTCTCATGTGAGGCTTTGTCATGCCTAAAATGGGTTCTCCAGGCACCCATCAGTGCTACAAATGCTTTAACAACCACTTTAGCTATCACTTTCTTCTTTCCCTCTGGTGTTGTTAAAAAAGGCCGAAGACACTGCAGCAAGTGTTGTTGGTGCTCAGCAGCTCGTGGCAGGGCTGTGCAGAAAACGTGTCCTGGGATTTCTGTATCTGAGCGCCCTGAGCTGGGCTGGGAGGAGCTGTGGCACACAGGAACGAGGGGAAGTGAAACTAGATCTCATTTCACCAGCACAGGTTAAACAAAATGAACATTTTAAAGGGTTGGAATCCTCTGCATATGTACTCACTGGAGATGGCAGGGTTGTGCAAGAGGACTTTCTAAATGTTCCTCTAGCAGTGCTTCCTTTTTAAGCTGTTTCTTCAGTTTTGTTTTAACAAAATGTTGGTGCTGCACAGACATTTGAAAAGCTCCATGCAACATAAGGTACACTTGGCACGCTGTTGCCTCATTTAATACTCTTTTTGGAAGGGCTGTGGCCACGTGCTCCTCGCACACAGAGACACCAGACTGCTCCCAGGGATTGGGATGGGGCTGGATATGGGGATGGATATGGGGATGGATATGGGGCTGCAGGGATGGGCAGGCTCAGCTGCAAGCTGGGCTTGCCCCATGGCCAGCACAGCTGTGAGTTCCTTCTCAGGTCAATGTTGCCGTGTTTTGTTTCATCTCCCCTGAAAATCACTTTCCTGGGAAATTCCTTTATCCATAAGAAGCCCCTCGTGGTGCTGTTGGATCAGACCCTGTGTTCCATCTCTGCTCTGGTGCTTCCTTCCCCTGCAGGCGTGAATGACAGAGGAGGTGCCCCCGAGTGCACTGTCGGATGTGAACCTGCGCCTGCTCTGCCACGATGACATAGACACCGTGAAACAGCTCTGTGGAGACTGGTTCCCAATCGAGTATGTGCCTGCTCTGGGGGCAGCTGGGACAACTGGGGGGAACCTGTACTGCTCCAGCTCTCTGTAGCCTCAGGGCTGTTGCCAGGGCAGCAGCAGGTTGGGAACCTTCTGTGCACTGTGGTGGTGTTAAAGGTCCTTTGCTGCCTGGCCCGCAGCGTACCGTAGCCATCAGAAACTTCCTGCGTGCAGATTTTGGCAGGAAAATGGGCTTTGCCATTAAAGGGGTGGATCAGCTTCTTGAGAAAGACTGAATGAGGTGGGGAAGGGCAGCACCTCCAGGAAAAAGGACAGCATCCCTGTGCTTGTGAAAGGAAGTTGTGTCCTGGAGCCTGGGGCTGGGACAGCAGCCTCAGAGCCAAACCGAACTGACAGGGAGCTGTTCCCAGGGGCTGCTCTGCTGTCCCCAGGAACTGAGCACTGCTTCCTTTGGATCACTGCTCCTCCATAAAGCTGATCTCAGCCTGGCCCAGGCCAGCTCCCAGACCCACATTTGGTCAATGCCCATGACTGCACAAGAACAGGAACTTCTCTGGAGGACACTGACAGATTTCTGGCCTAAAGCATCCAGGGAAACCACAGCTGTAGACTTCATGGATTTTTAACTTTAGCTTCATGGAGAAGGTTTATAGAGGATTCTAGCAGATTATAATTAAGATTGAATAAAATGTAACAAATCAGCAAAAGCATTCATAATATTTTGAGTTTGTAGATTTCTTATAAAGGCAAGATGTGCTGAACTCTCACTTGGAAATAAATGAACATACAGTAGTTTCCCTTTAGTAGCTGCAGAAGGAGGAGGAGAACTGAAGGCTGGTGGTGTGATTTTTTTTTTTTTCTATCAGTATGAAGCATTTTTTTTACATGTGTATCAAATAATGAGATCCTTACACTCTTAGATGAGGGCAGATGGATCTTGCATTTAAAAATGACTTGCTAAAGATGGATGTGAAAGCTCTGGGCAAAGACTGTAAGATGAAAATGTGATTCTCTTAGCAAGGCAGGAGGCCATTACATGATGAAAGAATCCGTGGCACTAAATAGGATGCAACAGGTGTTTCCAATTGAGGAGCATCTAATGCCTGTTCCCGTGGGCTTTGCATCCCCTGACATTGCTGTTTCTGGTTCCTCCCCAGGTACCCTGACTCATGGTACCGAGATATCACTTCCAACAAGAAGTTCTTTTCCCTCGCAGCCACGTACAGAGGCTCCATCGTGGGGATGATCGTGGCAGAGATCAAGAGCAGGACCAAGGTGCACAAAGAGGTATGGGACTGCCCTGGGCTTCAGCAGGACACAATCCAACCCCTGCTGTGGGGAACGGGGATGGGACCTGTTTGGGGTGGGGTTTTTCCCTCCCCTATTCAGACACTTGTTCTGAGTTTACCTAAGGAAGGAAGCACATGCTGATTTCCAGCTGATGGAGCGGGGTGGGTGAGGGGCTGTGTGGTGCCACAGAGGCTCTTCCTGCTGGAGCATGGCCCCATGGAGAGCTGAGGGATCAGATCCTGCTGGCTAATCCCTGGTCATGGCTGGTGTAGCTGTGGGAGCACAAAACTCTTTTTTTTTCATTAGAGCTTCCTTAGCTGTACTGGGTGAGTCACTCTGGTGACTTCCTGCAGAAACTCCTCCCTTTACACAGTCCCTGTCCTGAGCCCTGGGGGAGCTAACCCGTCTGCAGAGAGCTGGGACTTCAGAGATAACAGAGCCTGGAGGCCAGGACAGACAGTCCAGTGCAGCAGAGAGGGATAGAAGAGATGGTCAGTGAAGACAGCATGGGAGAAGAGCACAAAAAAAAGCAAGGGCAGTGCAGGAAGTGTCTGACTCCTGGAAGGCCCTCAGTGATGTGGTTAAACAATAATCCCAGCAGAGTAGCACATGGGTCTCTTCACCTCAGCTCTCTGGCTTCATCTCAAAGCTCATCCAAGTCAGAAGCTGCATCTTCAGCAACTTCTACAAATGGCTCTTGTTCCAGCCAAGCTGAAAGCCAAGGGCTTATTCAGGCACTGCTCTGGGCAGTTGGGCCTGTGGAATGTGCTCCTTGTCCTCCCCAGCAGTGCAGAGATCTCTGGCTGACACAGCTCAGGTGCAGCTTGCAGGCCACGAGGACTTGCTGGGTTGATCTAAACACTGCTGGGTAGCTCCAGAACTGGCACTTTGGATCCTTCTGGTAAAGAAAGCAAGCCTGTTCTGCCCCTAAACCCACAAATAATGTACATATGTAGGAAATAGTGTGGTTTGTGTTTGCCTCTGGGAGGATCATGTGAAAATGGGAATAACTCCATGCTTGGATATGTTAACTTCCATCCCAAAAGCTTCAGCTAAGACTGTTCAGTTAAGAGAAGTTTTCTGCTTCAGCCTTTTTCAGGTGTTCCAGTACAGGGTTCATGCTTTCTCCTGTGCCTCCCCAGGTACCCTATTAAAAAACCTGTCCTATCTCTATGCAGGATGGAGATATCCTAGCTTCCAATTTTCCTGTGGACACTCAAGTTGCTTACATCCTGAGTCTTGGAGTGGTGAAGGAGTTCAGGAAACATGGAATAGGTAAGCTGCTGCTCAGTGCCAGTTGTTGCTGTATTTGCCAGGTATGACTGGAGGAGCTGCAGTATCCCCCTGCAGCATCCCTGTGGGAATGGGGAAGGGTTACCTGTGGCTGGTACCAGCAGGGGCACAGTGCAGGTGCACTGGGAGGTTTTTACTGGTGTGGGCACAACACAATGTGCAAATATTTCCAAAGAGCATAGGCCTTTGTCAGTCTTGTTCCCAGGGGCCAGCTGAGCACTCCAAAAACTCACACTGGTGCTGCTGAGGCTGTCTGAAAGTGTAAGAACTTCACCCAGAAGGAGAGTTTGAAATTATTTTCTTTCTGGGTATCAGCAGACTGATCTCTGAGACAGAAAACAGAACTGCTTTTAATCTTTCATCTTCAACAGATACAACAAACTGTGAAAAAACCACAAAGGGAACTGGAAAATAATGTTACTTGTGCCTGATTAGATCTTGAATGTACAAGTCAGCTCTGAATGTCTGCTGCCACGTGCAGCATTCCTGCAGCCATTTGAAATGCTGGAGTCAGGAAGGCTGTCTCTGTTCAGAGCAGTTGTGCTGTCCCCAGTGCTGCCCTTCAGGCAGGACGTGGATCTCTGATCTGCAGAAGGGAATGGGCCAGGTTTGGCAGCGTGACCCAGGGGTGCACCCCTGGAGTCTCCTCAGTGGATAGGGGTGTAACTCAGCACCTCCAAGTCCTCCCTTCTCCTCCAGGCGTGTTTGGAGAGGTATAAACCTAGAGGATACATAAAGAAATGACCACAGAGTCCTTGGTGAGAGCAGTGTTTAAACCTTCCATTAAAATGCCACTGGAGAGAATTTTCCAGTACAAAGAAGAAAGTGGTAGCACAGAATGATCACAGAGGCTGGTAAAGAGATCTTTCTGTAAAATTATGGTGGTTTTCAGTCTCGTCCTAATTTCCAAATCCTATTTTTCCCCCAGTCTTACCTTGCTGGAATTTTCTCTTTTCAGAGTCAGTATTTCCTGTATCTATTCCAGCTGCACAGCATGTTGCTGTCCTCTCAAAAACTTAGAGCTTGCACCTGTAGCAACACAACCTAAAAAAAGCTGCTGCTGCTTTTCCTGAGACCTTTCTTTTGAGTTTTTCTAGTGGTATTTGAAGCTGTAGCCTTTCATGCAGGAGGCTCTTCGCTCCAGCCATGCTTCTAAGCACTAAAGCTCTGATTTGCTCTGATTTTTGTTAAAGGGTTTGTTTTCTAGTTCTCTGCTGTTCTTAAACCATAGGACAGATGGATTTCTGTGAGGTGTAAGTCTGGAATATCTCATAAGAAAATTGAACTGCTCTGCTGTTGATATCTCAGTGTTTTTTTGGTCTTGGCTGATATAGATTCTCACTAAGTATCAAGAAAACGTGAAGTCAGTGCTGTTGACTTCTGCTCTGAAATCCTGTGGGTCCTCCAGAGAGTCCCCCAGGCCCTGGGGATTGTGAAACAGCAGCAGCCTGTGTGTTAGTCAGGCTGATTCTTCAGCCTGGTGTTACCACACCTGCTGGAAGAAGTTCCCCTGCAGGTTCTGCTGGGTCCTTCATGCCATGCTGAGGTGGTGTGGATGAACCCCAGGTCTTGTCCCTTGGGGCTGGAGTATCCTCTGTACCCTTCTCTGGCTTTTCCTGCTGCAGCAAATCCAGGTTGGATGAGGCTGTCTCCACTCTTCCTTAGAAGGTATTTTAAAATCCCAACAGTTCTTAGATTTTGATTCAAGTTCAGCAGACACAATAATCTCCTTTTGAAGTCCTGTTTTGACACTCTGCTGTCTCAAATGGTTTTAAAATAAATACATGTATGGGGTGAAACTGATACCATTGAAAATGAAACTGATCTTCCCCAAAGCCAGGAGTGGCTCTGCTGGGGTGGGCAGTATTGTCAAAGTTCTGCCTCATCCTTGTGGTTATTGAGTCAGAGGTTTGTGTCTTCAAAATCTCTGGGTTTTGAAGCTGTGCTCATAGGTGAGACCACGTATAGAAACCGTGTAGGAGGTCCTGTGAGAACTGGGTGGGATTTGGGGTCTCCAGGTGTGTGCAGCAATCCCTGGTGCACACACCCTCACACTGTGATCCTGCTGCCTTCCCTTCAACAGGTTCCCTCTTGCTTGAGAGTCTGAAAGATCACATCTCCACCACTGCCCAGGACCATTGCAAAGCCATCTACCTGCACGTGCTCACCACCAACAACACAGCAATAAACTTCTATGAAAACAGAGACTTTAAACAGCACCACTATCTCCCCTATTACTACTCCATCCGAGGGGTCCTCAAAGATGGCTTCACCTACGTCCTGTACATCAACGGCGGGCACCCACCCTGGACAATCTTATATCCTTTCCCTGCAGGCTGCTGAGCAGAGGCCAAGCCCTGTTTTGGGTTAACAGCAGCAGAGTGGGTAGATGTGGGAACTGAAACCTGCTCAGATGTGGGTTTAATCTGAAGCTGGAAGGGGGAGATGTTAGAGTTACTTGATGTAGGATGGTTGGAGCAAGTTGGATGCCAGTGAGAGCGAGTGCTGGTGTTAGGCCAAAGTTCTGGTCGTGCTTTGGCTTGTAGGGTGTAAGATTTAGCCATGAACAGGGCAGAGAAACACTTGGTTTTGTTTCCTGTGACCTGGGATCTCCTGTGAGCCTGGGCTGGCCTGGATCTCAGCAGGCTGCTCCTACACTGACTTAGAGGGTTTGTTTCAGGTCAACAGATCATGGAGAAGAAACTTGATCCTTCCTGGGTGTAGCTGGTCAGTTCCAAGCTCCCTGGGCAGGGGGATGGATTGCTATCCTCACAGGATCTTCTGTGGAGTGCAAAGGGAACTGCTTAGAGGAAGTATTTCCTACACCAGCTGGAGCTTCCATTCCCAAATTGCTGTTCTTTACAGGGCAGAGCAGACCTGCTTTTGATAGAAAGGTGGAGGCAGAGATTGGAAGGAGTAGATGTGACTGAGCTGAGCATCTTCCACTGTGTTGGGGTCCCTGCAGGCAGGGCAGGCCCAGGAGTGATTTTTGTTCTTTGCTAAGTTACAGTGTAAGCGTTGCTGTCCTTAACTGGTGGCCACTGACTACCTACAGCACATTGGCTCCACACTAGCCAGTCTGAGCCCGTGCTCCATTCCCCAGAGGATATACAGACAAGCCCAGAGCCTCCTGTGCAGCCTCCTGCCCTGGTCTGGCATTTCTGCCAAGAGCAGCATCGAGTACAGCCGGACCATGTGACGGACGGGGGAGCACAGGGAGCGCAGGTGGGTGCTGGGGCAGCTCCCTTCCCTTCCCTGCCACGGCCACTGGGCAGATCTCTCTTCTGGGAGAGGTCCTGGCGTGAGCTCATCTGCTGCCGTGGAAGGTGTCTGGGCATGGCTGTGCTCCAGCCAGCAGCTGAACTCCTGCAGGTTTCATTTGAAGGGAAATAAAATTCTGACCTTGTTTACTGGAGCCCAAGCCCCAACAGCGGGGGGAACCTGCTGTCCCTTTCCTTTTCCCAGCTGCTGGAGCAGAGTGCAGGAGTGCCTGAGCCCTCAGAGTCCCAGCACAGTAACTGGAGGCCCCAGTGCTGCCAGTGTCTGACGTTTCCAGGCCAGTGGCTCCCAGCACACCTTCCCTAAGTGTTTCCCTAAAACATCTGCCCTCTTTTCTTTCCATAGGGTTGTTTCTCCTTCCACCTGACACCCGGCTCTGGTTCCAGCGATGACAGCTCTTGGGCGGTGACCCGGCCCCCGGATGGGGCTCCCTGTTCCACGGGGACTGACCTTTGGTAGAACCCCCGGGGCTGCAGCCCCGGCTCCCCCCGGGCTGGGCGGGCCCTCGGCACCGCTCCGTGTGCATGTTGCACTGTCCCCGCCACCTCCCTCCCTCCGGTTTGCTCCTCCCCATACCCGGCATGTCCAGGGGTTCAGCTGCTGCTCCCGCTCCATCCACAGCTGCTGAGAGCAGCTGAGGGAGGTGCACGGATCTGCAGTGAGGAACCACTGAAATGGACTGGGAGAGCCCTGGCTGCTGGGGCAGAGACTGCCCTTGTTGCTGGGGAAGGGGGCAGCTGGGGCAGGGGAAAGGGAGGAATGGGAATTATGTTTAGGTCCTGCCACATCAGCTGCTGGTGCGTCCTGTGGGTGACTTCAGGGAGAGCAACTGCCTCGCATGAGAAACTACCCAGCCCCAGCAGCCCTCTGGAGTGATGTAAAAAGAAGCATATAATTTAGGATGCATTCAGGAAGTAGAAGGCAGGGAATGAAATTGCTATTTCATAGTGAAATATATATGTATTATACTGTATAGATCTTTCTGCCTTTGTCCAGGATGGAATGTAGCAGGGGATGGGAGCTGGCAGTGTACAGTCAGGTCCAGAGCCCTTCTCCCCTTCCTTGGCACCAGGCTGGACTTTGCAGGATCCCGAGGGATGGGATGTGTGCACAGATCACAGCTTTCCCTTGCTGAGGAGTGCCCCAGCTGCTCAGTGTGGTGCTTTGGGCTGTGCTCTGTGCACCTCTGGGCTGTGCTGGGCAGTCTCTCCTTGGCTGCCCTGTCCTGTCCGGGAGCCTCTGGCTGGACTGAGGAGCTCATGTGCAGCCTGTGTGGAGGCCCTGGAGCTGCAGCCAGGCCAGGGGCCCTGCCATATTCCCATGGCAAACCCCCCTTCCCCAGCTCAGCACCACGTTCCTTATTCCAGCTTCATTTTTTAACTGGGACTGGAGCAGGGGGATCCATGCCGGCGCAGGGCCTGGATGGGCTGGCACTGCCAGCTGTGGCAGGGGCTGGGCAGGCCCTGGGGGTCACACAGGGCTCAGGCTGGGCCTTAGGAGAGCCAACAAGCACAGGATGACCCTGCAGCCTGGATGGGCACAGAAAGCCCTGCCAGTGACCAGCCCCTGGGGGGGAGTTCACTAACAAAGGATGCAGGTGAGCTGCTGTGATTGGTGCCAGGCTGGAGAGCAGGCAGCCTCAGGGCCTGGCCCGTTTGGTGTCTGAGAGCAGCACCAGGCTGTTCTGGGAGGTGCTGCTCCTTCTGGGACTCAAGACAAGGTAAAGAGGTGTTTATGAGGAGTCAAACAGGGCACTCAGAAAGCCCCAGCCTTTGAGACCGTCAAGCCCCAAGGTGCCAGGGCCTCTTCCACCCCATGTCACCTCTGGCTCCCCTGTAGTTCAGCAGTGCCAGTGGCACTGGGCAGCAGCTCCTCCCCCAGCCCCAGTGCCTCCTCAGGGCCCCTGACACCCTCCCACTCAGTTGTTTCCAGTTTGGGGTATTTTTGCTTATCCAAAATAAGCAAAAATGCAAAAAATAAGCAAAAATGTGTTTTACTTAACACATCTGTTGGTTGAGAGTTTCTTCAGCAGCCCAAGCCCGTTTTTTCTCAGCACTTGCTTTCTCTGGACCAGAATGAAGCTCTTCTATCCTGATTGCCTGGGGCTGATGTGTGTCTGTGTCTCCAGTTTCTCTCCTGTCCCCTACACAACCCAACTCCACTATTCGGGCACATCCCAAGGGAGCTGTGACTGGTCTGTGTGTCCTCCTACCACCCTGTCCTGAGGTGTCAGCCCTGTCCCCATCTTAGCCCATTATTTATTGAAGAACCTCTCGCTAAATATCTTCAATTAAACCAAACCTCTTTTTGGAGTTGTCTGTCCCTGCAGAGAATCCACCTCTGACCAGCTGCTTGTGCCTGCCCCACAGGGGTGACCACAGGCCCTTTTCTGTGGGGTTGGGGGGATCCTGGGGGAGCTGCTGCTGCTCCAAACCAGGGAGAGGGGGAACAGGGAACGGGGAGCAGCTCCACAAGCGCTGAGCCTGCCCTTCCAACAGGACTGCAGGATGGGTGGGTGGGTTTTCCTAAGGCTCAGCTGCAGTGCTGGGCTCCTCACGGGCTGTGCCCCCTTCAGCCAGGACTGAGGCCCCTCAGGCACAGCCAGTGCTTGGGCGGTGCTGCTGCACCTGGGACAAGCTGCTCCAGCCCCTGTCTGGAGCCCTGGGGAGCACAAGCCATTCTGGAGCACCCCAAACTCTCAAGTGCAGCACCTGAGCCAGCCCACAGCTCTCCTGCCACCTCAGCTCCAGCCCTTCACCTCTGGCCTCTGCTCCCCCATCCTGCACCGCCCTGGCTCTGGGTCACCACCAGCTCTGCACCAGCCTCAAGAACGAGCCCAAGCGTTAAACTTTCAGCAAAGCCATTTATTCCACTTTCCTGCTCCCACAGATCTCCAGGTAGGGACCCACATGAGCATCCCCAACGCCCCAGAGGGAATTCATGGCATGGCTGCCCCGTTGTGCCAGCACTCCGAGCAGGAGCCCGGCCACTAACATGGGCAGAGGTGCTTGACCAGAAGCCCCAGGCCTCAGCTGTGTCCATACCAACACAACCACGTCCAAGTCGAGATGGGGCATTTAAAAAACTGGATGTTTTGTTCCTTACAAATAAAAGGGGGACCTGACAGCAGCAGTGTGTCCCTGAAATCAAAAGCATTATTCTAAGGCTCTGGCACCCTCACGTAAGCACATGAACTCTCTGCAGGGGCTGTGCAGGTTGATCTGGGAAGCTCGCTAAGAGTTTAATGGCCATAAAAATAAAATCGCTTTTCCCTGCTTTAGACAAACCCAACCCCTCCCGGCTGGGCAGTGGGATCGCGTGGGCAGCCATTGCAGCAGCCACGGGTCAGAAAGTTACAAGTCTCTCAGCTCACCCACTTTTAATTGAGCGCCAACACGGCGGCGTCACTCCATCCCTTCAGCCACCGCCTGCTCTGCCATAGCATCAGCGCCCAGCCCCACGTGCTGCTCCAGCGCCTCGGCCTCCCCCAGGCCCTGGCCCTCCAGCCCCACCAGATGCTGCTCGGCCCCCACGTGCACCATGCCCGGGTGCTCTGCCCTCTCTCCCAGCTCGTTGCCCGCTCTACCCAGCTCGTTGCCCGCCTTGTGGTGGTGGTGTCCTGCTGCCCCCCCGCTGTGGTCGATGGCCGCCTTCTTCGGCCTCTGCGTGGCAGCCACCGCCTCGGCCAGCTTCTCCTCCGGCACCATGTTCAGGATCTTCAGGGCAAACAGGAGCTGGAACTTGGCGGTTCCTACGAAGGAGTTGGCCAGGAAGTTGGGCAGCCCGCCCATGCGATCCTTCTGGGTGTAGAGGGGGACACGGACCATGCCCATCACCTGCAACAGTACGGGCACAGCTCAGCAGGGACCACAGCAGCACCAGCCCCCCCTGCCCCACACCCCCTCAGCCCCACACCCTCACCCAGTGCCCGCCAGCCCTTGTCCCAGGCTCTCCCTGCCCCCGTGCCAGGTCCTGCCCCTCCCTCCGACACCAGCCCCTGCCCTTGCTCCCCTCAGCCCCACTGAGCCCCTTCAGTGCCCCTGCCCAAATGCCCCCACAGGGCCCTGCTCTCCCTGCCCAGCCCCTCAGCCCAGCCCTGGCTCTGCTCCCCCTTCTGCCCCATCGGAGGGATCCCGCTGCCCCAGGACACTATGGGGAGTCCCGCTTTCCCCGCCAGCCCTGCCCTGCGTGGGGACACCACGGCTGACCCACGAGTCCCCTCGAGCAGGTCACAACCCAGCGCCCGCTGCCTCTGCTCGGAGGGCTGTTGGCACCCACCGAGCGCCCCGTGGGCACGCGGGAGGCCCTGGCTCTCACGCTCTGCCCCGGCCATCAGCCGGGCTCGGCTGCCCGGGGGCAGGAAGGTGCCCCCCGCACGGGAGGAACTCGGGTCACAGCAACATCACCACACCGAGGTCACGGTCCAGTCCGGGGCACTCGGCCCAGGGCAGGGGGAGATCCCCCCCAGCTGCAAACGGCCCTCGCCCGCATCCTGAGGCTGAGCGGCAACACGGGGATCATCCCTGCGTGGGACAGCGGGAAAAGCTGGAGCTCAAGCTCGCTAAGGTCTGGAGGCTGCGGCACGACCCCGGCCACAGTCCCTAACGCCGATGCCACGGGCGGTGCGGGCACCTGCCGCCGGCAGCTCTACCTGCGGTGCATTCCCCGGCCGGGCTGGCCAGGGCAGCCCGGCAGACCCAGGAGGGAAGCGGTGCCTCCCTGGGCTAACTGAGAGCTCGCACACCCCTCCCGGGTGTCCCACCTCCATCCCGTGGTCTCGGGAATGCACCGCGCTGATCTCGATGGTGTGCAGCTCCTCCAGGGTGAGCTGCCTGGCGTAGAAGTGTGCCACCACGCGATGTGGCCCCTCTGTCAGGTGCGAGCACAGATAGTCAGCTTCCGTCAGGCGCACACAGCCTAAACCCAAGCCCAGCACCCGATTCAGACCGTCCTCCAGGGACCAGTAACGGCGATCCACGAACCCCCCGGGAAAGCCCAGCAGTCCGTCAAATCGCATCTGCATCTGCAATAGAGGCGCAGGGTGTTAATGGGGCACGGCGCGGCCCCCGGCGGGGGGCGAGGGGGCGGCACGGAGGCCTCCGGAGGAGCCGGAGGGGCGCGGGAGGCGTCGCGGCCGCTCCGTCGCGGCACTACCAGCTCCGGCGCATCCAGGACCATCCACCGACAGCGGCCCGGCCGTCGGGGCTCTGCGCCCCGGCCGCACGGACCCGCGGGCCCGGGGGCTCCCCCTCGGGCTCGGGCCCAGCCTGATACTACCGCCCTGAACGGGAACTAGCGCGGAGCCACCGCCCCTCAGCCCGCCGCCCCCGGAGCCCGCGGCCCGACCCAGCCCCGTCCGCCCCGACCCAGCCCGAGGCCCGCCCGCCGCCGCCCTGGTCCCGGCCCCGGCCCGGCGCGGCCTCGCCCCCCCTCACCAGCACGGCGTAGCGCAGCGGGATGCGGCCGAACAGCATGCCCGGGTTGGGCGCGTACAGCATGGCGTGGCACGAGTGGCTCCAGCCCGGGCCGAGCCGCATCGCCTCGTACCGCGTGAGCGGCTTCAGCTCGGGCACGCCGGGCACGCCGAGCGTGGGCAGAGGCGGCAGCGCGCCCATGGCGGGCAGCGGGCCCATGGCCGCCATCGTCCCCACCGCCGCCATCGCCTCGCGCCACCGCCGTCCGCTCCGCGCACGCGCCGCGCCCACGACGCCGCGGGGGCGGGACCGCCGCCCGCCTCGGCCAATGGGAGCGCGCCGCGCGCCGCAGGGCCAATGGGCTCTCGGCGGCGCCCGCCAATCGCCGCGCGGCAGAGGCGGGGCGGCCGGCGGGCGGTCAATGAGGGGCGGGCGGGCTGCGCGCGCCGCTCGCCTTTTTAGGGCAGCGCGCGCGGCCAATCCCGGCCAAGCGCGGGGGGAAGGCGGGGCGCCGAAGGGCATGCCGGGAAGGAGGCGGGGGCGGGAACGAGCGAGCCCCCCCCGGGCCTTGGCCACGCCCACGCACCAATCCCCGCCCCGCCCATTGGCCCCGCCCATTGGCCCCGCCCATTGGCCCCGCCCATTGGCCCCGCCCATTGGCCCCGCCCATTGGCCCCGCCCCTGCCCAGCGCCCGCCCCCTGCACACGGACTCGCGTGGCTGCTCCACGGGTTTATTACTACAAACATAGACCGGGAGGTGGGGGGATGTGCCCCGGGACCCCCCGCAGAAGCAGAACAAGGCACACGGCGTGGGCAGCGCCGGGCTCTGCGGGACCGGGGGCGCGGGGGTCACCCCGGGCGGGCTGGGACGGGGCTGACCCCCGCGTCCCCCCGTGACGGGCTCGGCGTGGGCCGGGGCTGACCCCCGCACTCCCCCGCTCCCGCGGAGCCCCGCGCCCCGGCAAGGCAGGGAGGGCCACAGTTATGTACAGGGGCAGTGACAGCAAAGGGCTGTGCTCGGTAAGTACAAAATATACATCGGTAGTGTCCTTCATCTGCCGACTCGAACCTCGAAGCCCCGCCCCGGCCCCACAGACATCTCCCACGGAAAAACACGACACCAGCCCCTACCCGCCGCCAGCCAACATGCACAGGCTGTGCCGAAACCGCGTCGGTGCGACACCCCGCGCTGCGTCCCCGGGAGAGCCCGGCGGGCTCCGGCGGCACGGGCGGGGCCGGCCCCGCTCACGAAAGGCTCTGCTCGTCCTCCAGGTGCAGACGGGTCTGCTCGAAGAGAAGGGGCTGCGTGGGGCTGCCGGTGCCGCGGACGGGGAGCGTCTTGGCGAAGTCGGACGAGCCTGCGTGAGGAGAGGGAGTTCAGGCTCAGTAAAGGCAGCCCCGGCGGGTGCTCAGCCATCCCTCCCGCCCCGGACGGACCACAGGAGATGGGGCTGCAGCCGACCACTCATGTCCTCAGAGGGAGGCTGAGTGAAAGGGTGGGACACAGGACACTGAGCGGGGACACTGTCTGCCACAGCCTGGGAGAAGCCAGCAGGGGCCTGGATGTTCGTGGTGCCCCGGAGGCAGCAGAGCCCACGCGCAGCAGAAGCCAGTGGGGAGGGGTTTCTGCTGCCCGGCCTGGCGTCCTGGCACTCAGGGGCAGCAGGAATTCTGTGCCAGGAATAGGAAGGGAGCAAGGACAGAGCCAGCAGGGCAGCCCGGCTGGTTTGCTGCCCCTCCTTCCCTGCCCCGGTGGCCAGGACCAGCCCCATCCCCACTCTCTGCCAGCATTCCCAGGAGGGCCCTGCTGCCCCACACAACAGGGATGCATAAGAAGAACGAGAAGACGTACCAGCTTACTCCTCTATACCAACAGAGCAGGAATCAGGACCAAGTGCTGCCCAAGACAGGAGGGAGGAAGGCAGACAGAGAGGGAAGGAGACATTAGAGAGGTAACTCAGAACAGACTGCGACTCTACGGAAGAAAACAGGCTGCAACGACAACAGTCAGAGGTGAGGACAGCAGTGTCCCACGGGTGTGCTCAGAGCATGGCGCACTGGGACCCTCCTGCCGTGACAACACTGCCCCAGTCCCCAGCTGCTGGCCCAGATCGCTCCCCTCCCTCACCCAGAAGCAGGAGCACACTTGGGAGCACACAGGAGGCCTTTGTCACACAGAACTGTGCTGGGAGGGGCCGTGGCCCAAAGAGAAGAAAGGAGGGGAAGGACAGAGACACGAGGGTGACGGAGGAGGAGAGAGAAGGGGCCATTACCTCTGTATAAGGCCCCCTTGCCCACCGCTCACCCTGCCCACGGGAAGTGGGAGCCCGTGCACCGGGCAGGAGCGCTCCAGTCCCACCCCGGGGCTGTGGGACACAGCTCCACGCGCCCCCCGGCCCTGGAGCCACGGTGGCGGCTCCGGCCCCAGCGGCACGGCCATTACCTGGCAGGAAGATGTCGACCGGGGGGTCACTCTCGGACCGCGTCAGGCTCCGGCTCTCGCCGCAGCCGCCGTCCTGCAGCACGTCCTCGACCGAGGGCGGGCGGCTACCTGGAACCAGCCGAGAGCGCGGCCCCTCAGCCCCAGCATGGACCGCGGGCGCTCACAGCCAGGGTGGGTCGAGGTCTTCATGTGGGGAAGCTGCCCCGGCCCCCCCAGCCCCACTGAGGTTCCAGGAGTGCCGGTCACATTGGCCCGGGTCACAGTGCCAAAGGGCCACCTCTTCACCTGCAGCCTCGTGGCCCAAAGCGTGCCCATCACTCCTCTCTCACACCCCATCCTTGTCCCCTCTGGGTGCTCACTGAGCACCAGAGACCCATCCCAAGGACCCAGAGGCCCATTCTGTGTGCCCAGTACAGTGGATGTGCTCTCACCAGGACCCCAGTGGTGTCCTCACTGGTGCAAGGAGAGCTCATGGCATGGAAAGCTCTACCTGAGTAAAGCTCAAAGCAAGGCGAGAGGCCTGGCAAATAAGCCAGGGAGACCTATGGATTTTGCTCCCTCACCTCCAATAAAAGACCCTGGCACATTTCCCTGGTGAAGAACAGTGCCTCAGAGATGGGTTTAGGGGGCTGGATGTTTCTGAGCTCAAGTTGTTCATTCCCCAATGGTCCCTGTCCCACACAACAGCACTGAACATCGAGCAGAGGTCTGGCTGCACCCACACCTACCCTGCTGCACCGATGAGGCCTCCTCCATCTCTTCCCCTGCCACGCTCTGTAAGGAGGGACAGCATAGGTTACTTCTTCAGCTGGAGGCTTTGCTGTGCCATTCTCCTGCTCTGGCTTTCTCCAGGGAGTTGTGCTCAGGGCCAGGGCTTGTTCCAGGGCAGGAGCAGGGGGCTACCCCAGTGCTGTAGCACCACAGGCTGGGATACAGGGGTCTTACCAGCACTGGAAGCTCCTAATGCCCAGCTCCCACCCCTGCCCCAAACACTGCTGGACTTGGCCAGGATGCTGGGGAAGGTCAGCTCTGCCATTGCTCCAGCTAAGTGGTTTTCCACTTCCAAAGAGATGTCAGGAGCACAGGGAGTGGCTACATCCTTCCCCATGGAGCCCTAGGGGTAAACAAAGCAGCCAAGACTCTTGGCTCTGGGCAATGGCCCCCCAGCAGGCACTTGCCATGTCCCAGAAGCCCCCCCAGAAGAGCTCTGGTTCAGAAGCCCCCCTAGCAAGCACACACTTACCTCTGGAGAGCTGGTCTCCCTCAGGACCAGCTCACCCCCGCTCAGCACCGCCTGCGAGTCCGAGTCCTCGGAGAGCTTCTCCTCATCCTCCTCATGGATCGGGGATGAGGGAGACCGTAGTGCGCTGCAGCAAGAGAAACTCCATTTGCAGCGAGCTGCCAGCACCCTGGGGCTTGGAGGACTTGGGGGCATCACAAGCCAACTCTCATGAGCAGGAGCTCAGACTGGGGAGCTGAATCCACAAGGCCTCCAGTATTGGCCACATGGAAACAGCAGCAGCAGGGTGGGACAGAGCCAAGTGCTGCCAAACTCCAGCACAGCAACAAGAGGCCCAGGTCCTGTGCTGCTCCTCACACTTTCAGGGCTCCCTTCTCAGGTGAAAATCTGGGCTGGAGCACAGTGAGGAGTTCCAGAAACAGACCAAGTCTGATCTGATCTGAACAGCCCCATATCCTCACCTAACCCCTCCATCACAGGGCCAACAGAGGAGCCCTCAGACAAGAACTACAGGATCTCAATTCAGCACTTTGTGCTCTGAAATCCAGGTCACTCCTCTCCCCATTCCTTTGCTCCTGAGGAGCTCCATGGAAAGCTGAAGTCCAATAAGGTTTGGACATAAAATGTAAATTTTAGGACTAAGGAAGGAGGCATTTCCAGCCAAAGTCTTTACTATGGGGGTGGTGAGGCCCTGGTACAGGTTGCCCAGAGAAGCTGTGGGTGCTCCATCCCTGGAAGTTTCCAAGGCCAGGTTGGAGAGAGCTTGGAGCCACCTGGGATAGTGAAAGTTGGCCGTCCACAGTGGGGAGTTGCAATGAGATGAGCTTTATGGCCCTTTCCAACACAAACCATTTTGTGATTCTATGATCACATTCTCCTTGTTAAAAATCCTCTTTCTTTTGGTGACAGAGCCAGCCCTTAGGAGACACAAGCTGTAACCTCAGGTTGAACACAGGGACAATGTCCCAGTTCCCTCCCTGGCACAAGCACCTGCTGGCCTCCTAAAATTCTGAGTTAGCTGTGCTAGCAGTGATGGGACCAGCCCGAGCCCTCTCCTGGCTCCCAGTGCGTGTGGCCACCAAGCCTCAGGGCTTGCAAGAGGAGCGGACCCCGTGCCCTGCTGACCTGTCTGGAGACTTGCTGCGCTTGCCCTTTTGGTGGCCGCCCTCCAGGGCTCTGTCCATGGCCACGAGCGGGCGGCTGGCGGGAGGAACCCCGTCCACCACCCCCGAGTAGGTGATCTCGTCGTAGAGAGGGGCCGAGGGCAGCGAGGGGGACACGGAGCGCAGGCCGTTCAGCGCTTCCAGCGGGGAGATGGGCTCGTAGCCCGGGGGGATGTTGTCAGAGCTCTGCGGGTCAGAAAGAGGGGGGATGTCAGGAAGATACCCCAGGCTGGAAGCCCCCTGCCCCCCAGGCAGCCCATCCCCACAGCCACCTCTCCTTCCCTGGCAACAGACACACATTCCCCTCAGGGCTGCAATGCTGGTGTGACACTCCCAGCAAGTTCCCAGAGCAGTGCTTGAGAGATTGGGCACTCCCCTGATGTGCTTTCAAGAGCCGGGCAAGAAGGGTGACAAGGCAGGCTCCTAAAAAGCTGCGACAAAATATGTTTGGATTTTTTTTCCCCTGAAAGCTCTTCCAATGGCTCAGAGACCCTTCCAGCTCAATGAACATCCCACTTGTGTTCCCAGCCATGAACAGGCAGCTTTTCACAGCACCAGCAGTGTCACGGAGGCAGAGCTGAAGGAGGGAAGCATGTGTGCACCAGCTGAGAGATGGTTCTTGAGGCCTACCCCAGTTCCACTTCTCCCATGTCCTCTTGGCTGTTAACACAGGCTCCATGCACAGTCACCTCTGCTAAAAGGCAGGAAAGGGATCACAGAGCCACTGACCTCATAAGGAAGAAGGAAAGCCACACCAATCCCCATCCCTCTGTAAACCACAAAGCTGCCAGGCAAAGGGGACCCTTGCAAAGCCATTAAATTAACACTGGTTTAACTCGAAAAATCCTTCTGATCATAAAGACCCTGTGGACACAGACAAATGGGGTTTATGCTGCACCCTGAGAGGCCACGGACATCTCAGCACAGCCTGATGCAAATCAAGAGGTGACACTCCCACAGTTCAGGCTGCATTAAATTGAGATGTTTCAGCCCTGTGTCCTCAAGGAGATGGTTCTAAGTTGTACAGAGGATGGCACCGTGCTGCTAAGCCTGGCCATGAACCTCCACAGCTTCTGTGTGTCTCATGTCCCAGTCACACCTGCAGAAGAACCTGCCCAACACAGCCCCTAATTTGGTGAGAGCTGAGTGCTGAACTGACTCACCTGTGGTCACAGCAGGAGTTAGGTCTGATGGGGAGTGAGGAATGAGTGGCATCTGGGGTCAATCACCAGCCCACATCCCAATATTGGTCCCGTGAGGGTTATGAGCTTTGAAGACAAACAGCTCAGCTAAACAAGGAATGAGTTTCCAGCTGCTGCCAGCTGCAGGTGGTGGGGCCAAAAGCCATCTCCAAAAAACTTTTAATCTGCAGACAGCAGCCCAACTGTGCTAGTCTGTGTACAGAAAAGTCAGGGAGACAAACCCCCTTGGATTCCTGTTTGGGGCTTTTTCTCCTGGCTGTGCAGAGGAGAACCCTGAGGGTTCAAAGGCTGCCTTTTGCTGTGGTGAAAGCTCAGGCTGCATGGCACAGCACAGAGCCTGGAGGAGGATTTCCCAGCCAAACACCCTCACTGGGACACCTTTCCCTTCTGGGACATTCACACCACACCCTCAGGAACACTGCCAGTCCCTGTGGGAGCCTTGCAGAGAGCCAGGTCATGCCAGAATGGGTTCAAACCTGAACCAGCACCAGGTTTTATCCAGACCTTCAAAGCCCAGCAAGCCGTGCTCCTACAAGGCCAAGCATCTGAGCTGGCTTGAGCAAAAGAAAACTGCAACTTCCTTGATAGAGATGACAGCCATGGCTGCATTTGATGGAAGTACACAAAGAGGGCACAAACAGCCTTCTTGGCCTGGAGGCTCCCTCAGGTTTCCCCTTGTCAGCTCCTGGACCCCTATAATTGCCAGTCAAGCTGTCCCCAGCACAGCACTCCAGTTACACACTGCCACACCCACTCAGAGGGTCCCCAGCCACAACAAGCTCCATCCTTCCTGCTCCTGTAAAAGCAAACCAGTCTGTCACAGCTGGTGTTCCTGAATGCAAGACCAGCTCCAGCTGCACCTCTACATGCCAGCACCACAAACCACACCAAGATGTGCCCACACCAAACTGCCAAGGGGATGAGGTAAGTGCAAGGAAGCTTTTGGGTGAGCTGTGGGGACTGCAGCTTGCCCACAGTCCTATGCAGCTATGCAAACATCTTGGCCAGGAGCCATAAATCAGCCAGGGGACAGTCGCTGAGAGTCAGCATCAGCCCCCTGTGCCAAGCTGCTTCCTTCTTGCTTGTTCCTCCACAGGCAAACCAGGGATGTCAGTGATCATCTGTGCAGGGTGTGAGCATCTCAGTGCCAGTGTGAAGGATGTGGAGTGTCACAGCCTGGCAGGGGCACAGGCCAAACCCAGCGTGTCAGCAAGCCCTCGTGTGTGACACTGCCACGTGCAGGTGACACTGCTGGCAGAGAGCTGCCAAGTGCAACCAGCCGAGTCCACTTACTGTTCTTACTTCCCTCCTAGGCTTCCTGCTGGGCAGGGAGACAGAGCTCACCTTAAGGGGTTTAAAGGGGCGCTGTCAAGAGAAAACCAATTTTAAAGAAGTTGTTTCTTGAGGTTAAGTGACAGGAAGAGACATACAGCATCTCCTCACCTCGCTGGAGGTGACAGCACCCCTGTCCTACACACATCACACTCTGCTTCACAACCCTTGGGCATTCAGCACCCTATTCCTCAGCCCCAGCTGAAGGCAGCAGAGGGCAGATGCATAAACTCAACCTTTTTCTGTGACAGTATCTGTTCCCATGAAAGCCTGTAGGATGATCTAGATGCACTTGTCCTTCTCTTCATTGTAATCTCAGTGTCTCACCAGAGCCAGCTGTGCAACAGTGCTGCTCAGGCAAAGAGCTGCTGCCCGTACCACACTGGGGACATGCAACTGGGCCCTGAGGCCACCAGCACTGACACTTCTCATCCCACATCCCATCAGATGCATGCCAAGACATCCAGGGAAGCTGCCACAAGGAGGCCTTTCTACTCCCATGCTAGGAACCCCAATGCCAAGGGCATTTCATCCATGTACTGCCACAGAGATGTGTGTGCAAGTCAAACTGGAACCCCTCTGCCCTGTTTTCACAGCTCCCACCCTGTCATGCCCAGAGACTACCAATTTTCTGTTGGGCCAAGGCAACAGGAAGCCTTCTCATCCTGAGATCTCTGTGGATTTGTTTCCTCTAATCCAGTTGTGTTACTAATCCAGCAGGTTGATAAGAAAAGGCAGCACTGCTTGGGAAGGCCTCCTGAGGTCCCAGCCATCAGTCCAAGCAACTCATGCACCCCCAGCTGCTTGCTCAGGCTGAGACCAGCGGCCAGGCTTTGCACAGGGGTCAGCAGGTACTTACAGAGTGCTCATCGTGGTCCACACTCTGTGCCAGGACGGGGCTGAACGACACCGGCGACAGAGCCCCCGGCTTCTTCCTCACCGCGCGGATCTGCAGCAGGGCACGGAAGGCTGGGAGAGAACAGGAGGTGGTGACTGCACAGCCCAGCAGGGCCAGGCCGTGCCAGAGCTCCTGGCCTTGCCACAGACACGTTTTGGGCATGGGGGAGCTCCCCTGAGCACGAGGAGCGGGGCCATGGAGCCATTAGATCTTGCTTTTGGTTATTGCTCTTTGCCATGTTTGGACTGTTCGGACTTAATTTCTCAGGCCAAATATCTGTCTTAGGCTCTTTATTTCTTTCCCTGAGAATTGTCAGATAGAAACAATCAAATACCTCAGACACCAGGCAGTAAAACACACACTTTGCCCCTTCCAGCAGAAACACAAAATTCTGAAGGGCCTCCTGTGCCTCTGTGCTTTTGAGAAAAAACACAGAATTCAGCAAATGCTGCCCGAGTGTCAAAACACGTATTTAAGTTTTTCCATCTTTTGTGAGCTGGGCAATGCAGGGGTTAAGCAAATCCTCCTGATTCCTGGCAGAGCAAAAGACTCCAAAGTGACTGTTACCTCATCCCTGCCTCCTGATGAAATCGGGGTAAGGTTGTCAGAAGATAAAAAGAAATCATGCTATGTACTTGGACATCCCTCCAGTGGTGCTGGCTGCTCTCTCAGCCAGATGCCCGCAGGATAAAGCTTCTCCATCCCTTCCTTTAGGGGATTTTCCAACATCTTCACCAAAACACAAGAACTGCTGAGATGGCATAGCCCAGAGCACCTGCACCTTCAAATCCACCCCAGGGAGAGGGTGAGCGGCCAGGCAGGCACTGGACAGAGCCATTCTCCTCTCCTGTCTGAGGACATTTATTCTAGATGCCAGTGAGAGCAGCAGCACATGCTGAGCCTGGGGCTGGGGTGCTGAAAAGAGGTTCCTCTTCCCAGCCTGCACTGCTTTATCAGGAGCTGGGCAGGGGCCAGGTGTCCTAGGTTGGAAATGGGTGTGTGTATTCTATTCCTATCTGATGGGGCAGTTCTCTTCTGTTCATTGGGCAGTTTTCTTTATCTCTTGCACAACCCATCCTCCCTCCAGGAGATCTCTGCTGTCCATGGCCAGTGAGTGTCCCTGCATGGCTGAGAAAATTCCATCATCCATGGGGAGATGCTCTGCCCAGGAGCCAAGCATTTCTACCTGGATACAATCTGACCTGGGAACCCCACAGCAGCCTTTGCCCCCTGCATTCCCAAAGGAGCAGCTTTCTTCCCACTGCATTCCCAGAGGAGCAGCTTTCTTCCCACTGCATTCCCAGAGGAAGACCAGGCCCAGCCCTGGAGCTTCAGAGGAAAACTCCCCCTTGTCCAGGATCCTTGCTCAGCAGAAGCACAGCTGGCACTGCAGGAGGGCTGAGCCACCCTGGGATGGGACTGAGCCACCTCCCTGACCCACAGGCTGCCAGGGCATGTTCTGACTGTCAGTGTTGTTTTGTATTACTGCATTGATGCTTTTTGTTCTTTTAAATTTTCTTCCCTAATAAAGAACTGTTATTCCTGCTCCCATATCTTTGCCTGAGAGCCCCTGGCTGTCCTGGTGGCCGGGGCAGTGGCTGTCCTGGTGGCCGGGCAGTGACAGGCCTGGTGGCCGGGCAGTGACAGGCCTGGTGGCCGGGCAGTGACAGGCCTGGTGGCCGGGGCAGTGGCTGTCCTGGTGGCCGGGCAGTGACAGGCCTGGTGGCCGGGCAGTGACAGGCCTGGTGGCCGGGGCACTCACGCAGCCTGCAGATGGGGCAGTTGTTGGCCTGGTAGCGCAGGGTGTCGGCGCAGGAGTTGCAGAGGCAGAGGTGGCGGCAGGGCAGGATCAAGGTGTCCCGCAGGTCCGACAGGCAAACCACGCACTCGTTGCTGTTGTCGCTGTTCTCGTCGTCTGCAGGCTGCAAGGAGAGGAAAAGGGTTGGCATGGCAGTGGTGGGGGCTATGCCAAGCTGCCAAGAGATAGGAGCCTGGGAGAATTTCCCACCCAAAAGTCTGGAAATTATCTTTTTGCAGGTCTCAGCAGGGGTTCCTCAAGGAGAGCAAACTGTAGCCCACACAGCCCTGCTCATGCTCCTTCCCCTCAGGGCACTGCAATTGGAATTCATGGCAGAGTTGTCCTTCCCCAGAGCCATGTTCTGTTCAGAGGGGACCCATTTTGGGCCAAGGATCCCTTTGACTGAGGCTGACCAGGAGCAAGCTCCTGCCTCCCATCCTGGTGGCTCCAGGGTCAACAGGGAAGTGAACTCTCTGGCACTCTGGCCTTTCTTCCTCACAGACAGAGCAGCCCCAAAAGGAGCTGTGTGCTGCCTGTCATTCCAGCCACATCTAGCCCAGCTTCCACAGGTCCCCTGAGCAAGTGAGTGATTCTCCTGCATCCCCTGTGCTGGCACAAGCCCTGATGCAGCTGCAGGAGAACCAGCCCAGGGCACTCAGCTGCCCTCAGCTACCCTGCTGAAAGGCTCATTAGTGTGCACCCATTCAACATGAACGTGCTTCACACCATATTTCTCAGAGCCCCACAAATTGGACCACAGCCATTGATCAAGCTGGGAGAGAAACTCCCTCTCCAACTACAAGACTGACACCAGAAAACTCCACAGGCTCCCCACTGATGTCACAGAAGTGCCAGGCCCACCACAATGGCCCAGGATGGGGTACCCTCCACCTTCACCTGGGGCCCCTTTGGTCACCAGGGCTAACACATGCCAGACCATGGGCAACCTCGGTGTAACCAGCATTTGTGCTGCTGCCACATCCTCAGCCAGCCTCTTTTTGAAAGGAGAGCAGGCTCTTTGCTGTCCCACTCTCATGGTTTGCTGAATAAGGAAGAACGAAGAACAAAAATGGCCCCAGGCCACTTGTCTGATGGGCAGGAACATGGGATTGCTGGATCACGAGAATCATCACAAGACCCTGGAAGGCCTGAAAAGAAGCCCTCAATCCTGTTAATTCCATCCATCAATCCTGTGCAAGAAAAATCTTGGAAAATATTTTTGCCTCCTGCCTCTTCAGGTGCTACCTGCTGGCACAGGCAGACAGGGATCACAGGATGCTCTGGGCAGGGCACTGGAGAGGACACCTTGCTTGTCTTACTCAGTGGCTACTCCACTGTGTGCAATGTGATCCCAAGGCCAGCACTGGGCACACTCCAGAGCCCAGGTGGCAGCAAAGGGCAGCTCTACAAAGGCTAAAGGAAGAACAAAGTAGTCACACAACCTGTGCAGGGCTGTGCAGCAGGCTGGGATCCAGCAGCAGCTCCTGCCTCAAGATGGGAAGTTTCTGGTAATGGCATTTGCATATACATCCCTTAGGGGTGCTGTGCTCCCTCCTGCTGGGGAATGCAAGAGGAATGTCTCTGGGCACTGGCAAGCCCCAGAGAGCTTAGTTCTCTGAAACACTACAAGAACATGCAGAACCCCCAACCAGAACATGAAGGAGCCACAAAAGCAAAGCACAGACACCAGGCATGACTGCCTTGACTGCAGAGAGACAGCAACACTGGCTCTCTACAAGCCCTAAAAATCAGTGCTCTGACACACCCCTGGGGCATTGATGCCCTTCTCTCCTATCAATCCAAGCCACAGGGAACATCCTCAAGAACCTCATGCTGCCTAAAATTACCTCAGCACAATTCCACTGACTGTTATCCTGACACCAAGGATGATCTGTCATGCCTGGGCTTCTCAGGTGCCTGCAGGAATCACACAGACTGAGCTCTGGGAAGCACTTCCACCCTGCCCTGCCCCATCATTAAGCTTAAAAGCAGAAAGTGCAGGCTGGAAACTCCCAGCTGAGGGAGCCTCCTGGGCACCTTTACCTTGGTCTCCTGGTTGTTTTTGTTCTCGATGCCGTAGATCTCCTGAAGCAGGTAGCTCACCCGGTCAACCTAGGGGAGAACACCACAGCTGGAGTGACAGCTGCTCTGTCCTTTACTGGTTTATGACCACCTTCCCTCCCTCCCTGTGTCAAATGTTCATGTTACACCCAGAGCTCCCCTATAGTGACACGAAAAAGGTAACAGAAACAAATATTGCAAAGGACAGCTGGGAGAATGAGCCTCTCCTTGCTCAAAAAGTAGAGTCCATCCTGCCTGGTCTGAGAGAGAGTAACAGAAATGGCTAGCTGGGCTATCAAGATAATCTAAAAACAAGCACTCTGCTTGTTCCAGACATTGGGAATACACACCCACAGCTCAAATAACCAGAGGCAATCAGCCTTCTACAGTCCTCTCCTCTGTGAAGTCCGGCTTAACTTTAACCAAGATTAGCTTCCACCCATTTCTGCAACCTCAGAGGATGGGCTGTGCCAACAGCTCCTTCCTGGCACACCAGTGGCAGCACATCACCCCCCTGCTCATCCTCTGGGGGCATAAGGTTAACTTACTGAGGACAGACAGTGCCCCTTAGCATGAGAAGCACTCGAGGAATAATTCTATCTTAGTGCAATGTAATTTATTGCCATCCCCAGGCCCTCGGTGGCCTCTCTAAATTAGGGGTGTGGGGGCAGAAGGTGCTTGAGGCACAGGAGGAAGTTGCTCAGAGTCCCAGCCTGGGACAACTCCAAGTCATTACTTCTGCAAACTGGCAGCTGCCTGCAAACCCCACTGAGCAGCTGAACTTTAGCACTGAGGCTGATTCAGTCAAGATTCAGTCAAGATTCAGTCTTGATAAACATCTTCATTGATGATCTGGATGAAGGGATCAGAGGTACCCTCAGTAAGTCCACAGACAGCACAAAGTTTGATGGGAGTGTTTGTCTGCTGGATGGTAGGAAGGCTCTGCAGAAGGATCTGTAACACCAGGGGAGGACACCAGGTTGGACACCAGGAGGAATTTCTTTACAGAAAGGGTTGTTAAACATTGGAAGGGGCTGCCCGGGGAGGTGGTGGAGTCAGCATCCCTGGAGGTGTTCAAGGGCTGGGTGGCATGGTGGTGACCAGTCACAGATTGGACTCGATGACCTTGCAGCTCTTCCCCAACCCTAAATGACTCTGTGATTCTGTGACCTGGACCTATACAGAGCTTCCCCAGAGCAGGATGTGTTCCTTCACTGAAACCTTCACGACAGGTAAAAGGGTGAGGGGGTTGCAAGGTACCAAACAGGCAGATCTCCCAAAAATGGGGAGGAAACACTTTCCTGCCATCTCCAGTAGCTGCCCAGCTCCGAGCATGCAGTGAAGCCAAGCCACCAGCCAGCACTTCATGTTAAAAAGAGCTGGTCAATCCCAGGGCCTCTGTAATTTCCATGTCAAACTGGACTCTCTCCTTTCCTCTTGTCACCGCTCAGAAGAGGAGTGGCTTTGCCACAGCATTCCTGTGCTGCAGAAGAAGACACATGGCAAGGTGGGGGCAGGAGCTGGGTAGTGGTAACAAACTAATTCCAGAGTGTCCCTGTGTAACTCAGTGTGCAGCTCACAGACAATCTGTTCTAGGCCTGCATTTCATGGCAATGAGATCAACTGTTGGACTGCTGAGCAAAACGCTCTGCAGCAGCTCACAACTCACCCAGGAAGTTTGGGAACAATTATGTGGGAGATGTTCTTTTGGAACTTGGCATTTCAAAGAGAGCCTTGTTCCAGCATCCTGACTCCTCAGAGGATCATGATGAGCAACTGTAAGTGCAGAAGTCATCAGCTCAAAGCACAGAAGAGGTCAGGAAGAAAGAGGCCTAAGTCTCTGCAGGAATCTGGGTTTGTTTTGACCTCTTCCCTCTAAAAATCCTGAGGAGCTTCTGTCCCAGTAGGGAAAGGTGAGCAGTGCAACAAAGCTCTTCCTGGGAAGATCTCTAGGTTTCCAGAGTGGGAGTAATTCAGAAGGAGCAGGTGGTTGTAGACAATTCTCCACCTCCGTGCTTCTCCAACCCATCCCACACCATGTCATCCTTCCAAAGGCTTCTGCTGCTATTTACAGCCTCAGCAGATGCACATGGAGCCAATGGCCAAGTCCAGGTCATGGTTTTCTGCTGATCCAACTGTTTGTATTCATCCATGCTGACTTTCTTCAGGCAGGTTGGTGCTTACACTACAACTGATCTCAGCACAGAGCAGTTCAGCTCATGCACTGCTGCTTCCTGATCAATGCCCACAAAAGGTACCCACAACTCGAGCAATGGCAGGGAGGGGAAGGCAAAAGAAAAGCAGGGATGGCAAAGCATGTACAATGTTATACAGATGGTTTACTCCAGACATAGATTAACACCTCTGCTCTGTTCTCCTAAGGGTGCAGATGCTATCTCAGTTTCAGTGGTGCTGTGTGTTTTTCCAAATGCCATCTTGAGCTATGATTACTGATTGTGCTTGTAGTTCTTTTCTGGCCCAGGGATTGAAATGAACATCTTGGAGCAAAGAGTGTCTTATTAAGGCACTTAATTACCTTCTTGGTAGCAAGTAGTAGTACTTAATTCAAATCAGAAATCCCTAGCTATCAAGTAAGCATATGAAGTGAAACTCGTTTAAAGCTAAAACACAGCACACAGCTAAAGCTGAAAGGATCAACCACCAAATTCTCATCTCTTTCTTGAAGACATTTCAAACTGATCCTTGAATCACTACCAGATTTCTTTTCAGAAGCTGAAATTCTTGACAATCTTACCAGCTGCTTATGTATTTCTGGCTATGCAGAACTGGATGCAACCTCAATCTTGATAAGACACTAACCAGCTTCTGCACATCACACCACACCAGGATGGGGGACAAAATGATAAAATGAAGGGTTCCAGCACCTTGCTGAGCTAAGGAGGTGAGATCTCAGGCTCTCAGTGAACACCAAACCCTCCCTCTGGGTACAGCCAGGCAGCTGTGGGAGACCAGCAAGTCTTTAAGAGTAGACAGGAAACAGGTACTTACAATCTGCTTCTGTTTTAGTGGTTTCACGGAAAAACTGCCATCAACGTGCTAGCAGGGAATAAAAAGACATTAAAGCATTAAATAGCTGCAGTGTACAAATCAGAACAGGCTCTTTTCAGAGATGGTGTCTGCTAGCTAACGGGAGAGTGGGGTGTGTATCAGCAGGACAGCTTGGAGGGCAGCAGTCCCTCCCAGCAGAGTTAGTGGAACAGGGTATTGGAGAGCTACTGCTCCAGTGCAGAGCCAGGTGGACTTGGCTCAAGTTAAACCTGGCTGAAGTGGGTCAGAGCCCACACAAAACTCCCCTGGCACACTGGATGCTTTCAGGTTGCAAGCAGTCCAACTGGGTGCAGACACTTCTTCAGCCAGTCCAGCAAGACCTGGTGGGGAAAATCATTAACACCCCAAATAACACCAAGAGACAGTCACTCGAGCCCTGACAGAGCAAGGGGCTGCCATGAGGCTGAGAACAAAGTTTGTCCACTGGATGGAGTCAGAAACAAGTCCCATGTGCTCCACATCAGCATTTGCTCAGTGGTAGCAGGCACAGCTGGAACAATTCTGTGCACGCCTGGTGCCAGAATTCGTGATGGGAGCAGTGTGCCAGTTCTACTTTCCCCATCACCCACAAGGGCCACTAAACTGAAAGAAACCAAGTCCCCTGCCACAGCCTGGAGAGCAGCAAAGGAGACTCAGGGGATGCTCCAGCAGGTCCTGTGAACAGCTGCAGGTCTGCAGAAGGGGTCTCAGTAGGAAGAGACAACAACATCGCACCACAGACAAAACAGTCCTGTTTTCAGGCAAACAAGTTTCTGCCTTTGGAGGAGCTGCAAGGTCAGGCTGCACAGGATCAAGGTTATTCTTTTGATCTTAAAGATACATACAAATAGCAAGTTACCAAGTCCTGCTGGTCTGTTTTTCCTCTGAACGAGCTCCGGGGATCAGCAGGGCTCATTTATCAAGGACCTCCCCTGGATTTATGGACCTACACTTCAAAAGCTGCAATTACTTTAAGGATGGGGAATATATTTTAACCAAACAGGGATGTTGAGGAACTCAACATGTACTTTGCCTTGTGACTTTTTATTAAAAGGGAGATTTTAATCTTGTTTTAAGCATTAAGTGGAAGATGAGAGATAAGAAGCGGCTGATCAACGACTGAAGGATTCCAGTATGTTTTTTTTTTTTTTTTTAAATATCAGCCAGAGGAAACTACAATAACATCCCTGCCCTGGTCCTAGGGGTGCTGCAGCTGACTCCATCTCATTTCTGTCAGATGTCCAACTGGCAGGAGTAAAACTACCTACAAAACCAGTGCTCAGAGCAGCCTTTCTTAACAGGGAAAACTCACTTTCTTCACAGATCAAGTCCAACAAAAAAAGCAACCTAGAACACTTAGAGCATCTTCCAGCCATATGTTTCCTTAGCACTGACTGTGCTTGCTATGCCCTCTGACTCAGCTTGTCACCATCCACATTATCCACCTCAGAGGAACAGAATTAGGACCTGGCAGGGACTAGGCACACTGAAATACACAAGTCAGCCACCTGCCAGCTGGAAAGTGGGGAATTTCCAACAGTACAGCACTGATGCTGCTCCCATCTACATTTCCAGCTCTGCTCCAGCAGCTCTTGCCTCACCTCAGTGTGTCACTGCAAGTATCACCTGCCCAGAAAATGTGTCTGCAGTATTACCCCAACCAGACACAACAGGGTTGTGCTATGGTTATGCAGTTATGGATATTGCAACTGTTTTCAGGGTCCAGTTACCAAGGGAAGAGAATTTGTTATCAAGGCTTGTGGACACAGCTTGGCCTTACCATGTAGGCAGGGTCAGTTATATCAAACACACCATTGGAACTCAGCCTTTTCATAAGATGCATCCCAGTCCTTCCAACAGGGCTTGGTCCTGTGTGTAAACTCAGGCCTAACAATAGAGCAACAGGGTCTGGACACAGCAGATCCAGTTCTGCAAAAAGCATGAAGCCCTGGAAAACTGCGTGGCAGCAGCCATGGCCAACACCTTCCACCCTCCATGGGAACACAGGAAACACCCCTGCTGTTCCCTGAATGACCAGCTCGGGTACAAATGATAATTACAGGATGCACAGGAGCTTCTGCAAATGATTCTTTGTACTACAGCAGCACCCAGGAACCCCAGGCACAGGCCAGCACGCTGCTGTGCCAAGTGTTATATAAATACAAAACTAATGACCCATGGAAATGTTTACATACACAAGAACAGGGACAGAGGGATAAAAATACCCTCATTTACCTTTTCAAATGCAGCCAGAAGAACATGGGCATGACCAGTGACCTCAACCACCACTGCAAAAAGAGAAAGGGCAGAACTGGTTAAACCTCTCAAGCAGCACCAGCATAAAAGTATCCTGAGCTGAATTTTAGTCCACTTAAAATTTCTGAGCTTCCATCTGTTCTATTTTCACCTTCTCCTGCATTTAGAACTTTTCTTATCTTGTCATCATGTTGGCTCAGAACAGAGCAAGAACAAAACTCTGCTGGGCTCTGTGGTGGGTCCTATACAACCATGCCTTCATCATTCTGGGTGCTCTAAACTATTCCACTTTGTTAGCAGAGGTTGAAAAGGGACAGTAAAAGAAAGCATTCAGTGGGAGTCTTCTGTCCCCTGAAATTCCTGGGCTTAATTACCTGAATTTATCACAGATCTATCTGGTTTAACAGCAATTGGCAGCACTTCCAGCCCTGTTACTTATTACTCTATTTCCGTCTAGTCAGATATGCTTATAAAACATTTATTTCTCATACTAATTTCAGACACTGAAACATCTCTGACCAGCTTTCACCAAAGACAAGCATTTTCCCTCTTCTAAACTTGAGGGTTCTCTCTTAATCCCACAGCAATGGGAAGGGGCTGTCAGGGGTTTCAGTACTGCATTCCTGGCTACTTCAGCAAATAGAGAGGAGAGGAGATGAGGTACAATCCCAGTCTCTCTCACTCTGACTCTGAGGTTCTGTTCAGCTCCAGCTGGTTGGATCCTTTTCCTGAATCCTGTTCAGACTGATCACATGGAAATGGGAGACAGAGTTTGTGAGGGAGTCACAGAGGGAAGGAAGGCATGGAAGCATTCATGCTGCTTGGAGTGTGAGGGCTGTGCTCAGCACAGGCAGGAGAGCTCTGCCTGGAAGGTGCAGCTCAAGGAAGCAACTCCTGCTCTGTCTAAAAGGGAAAAGGGCTCCACAGCTTCCTCTGAGCTCCCAGAACAGCAGAGACGACAGAGGAACAATTCCCTGGGCTATGGCACACAGACCATGTTTGGAAACAGCCATATGAGAGAGAGGGGAGATTTGCCTGCAGATTTGCCGGGTAACTGAGGCTGGTCATGGTAATTTGGGTGGAATCAGGAACACAACAAAATGCAGAAAAGGGGGTTAAAACTGGGAATTCATCTGCTTGCTCCTCTCACTGCCAGCCAAGAGCAAGGCTGCTCTATCTCTCAGAGTAAACAAAATTCAGGTCCTTTCTCTCAGTCTGAATGGCCAAGGAAGAGGTAACAATTCAGAGAGGTGTGACCTGCTCTGTGCAGCACCTTTCCTTCCTGTTCTCTGCCTCTCCCTGGGAACAATCCCACTGGCAGCAACGGGGCAGGGCTAACACTGCAAGCCATGGCAGAGTTCAGCCCAAACCAGCATCTCCCTGACTGCTATTTTAATTTACCACTCAATCTTATTTAACAGCTGTAATTTTCCAGGTGCTCCAAACAGACCACACCAGCTCCTTCCAGTCCCATCAGTTAAAAAAAGAACCAAAATACACAATTTCCTCAAATCTCACTCAGATGTCACACATTTTTGTGCTGATATTCTTTCCAGGAGGGGATTTAAAAGCAGTTGGTTTTCTAGGTTATTAAAATAGATGGGAGTACATTATTGGCTAAGAATGGGCATGGTATGTGCATAAATGTATGCTTCCCATACTGCCTCCTGTTCTATTTTTGATCCTTCTAGACATGCCCAACATTATAGAGTATAAACACCTTGCCTAAAGTTCCATAAACAGAGGAAGCTGTTTTATATTTATGGCCAATAAATACACATATATGTCGATTTTACTAACGGTGCCTGAAATCACTAAAAATAGATGCACTTTAGAAATAATTTCCTTTATGTTGCACTGTGCTTTGTTAGTCACACTTCAAATTGGCTTATTCAGTTCTATTTCTGTCTGCTTGGAAGACTGTAAAACAATGTAATGAGTTTTTGGGCTTTTTCACATTTACAACATAAAAAACTGAGCAAGTGACTGACCTAACAATGTGATCAACATGGGATTTTTTTCTTTTCTAATTATCTTAAATTTTGTACAAAATGTTACAGAAGTGAAATGCTAGTCCTGCTGACCATGAGAGCCCCCAGTTTCAAGGAAAATGTGACTTCCTTGTACCCTGTTCATTGCTGACACTGCAGATGAGCCCAAAAGCACAAATCCCCTAAGGGAAATACCATGTATGGTGAGTAATAATCTAAAAGTAATAATCTAAATATTCACTGGACTACCCTCTCCTAAACATGATTACAAATTATGATTAGTTATTAATTATTTTTACATTTTAATCAACAATTCTTTCTCCTGAAAGGTTAGGCTCTTTTATTATAACCATTCAACATCCTCAGAAAAAGCATAATTTCAAACTGCTGAATAAAGCTGCATTTGGTTGAAGTGACCTGAGTATTTTAAAGCCATTTCCTTTTCTCTGCCCATTTCCAGGTTTTTAAGAAGACAACTGAACCCTCCAAGAGGGAGAAAAGATCAGCTCCACCCTCCTTGACCTATAAACTGCAAAAGCAAAACCCAGCAAGCAAGGATGTCATTTGATCTAATTTGTGTGCCTGACACTGGTGGCAGAGCCAGAAGCTCTCTTAAACACTATTCCAACACTAAATACCTGGCCATTTATCCTGTAAAAAAAAGAATTTTTTTTTATGTGGTTAGCTTGGCCCTTTTAATAAAGGGGAGTTATGGTGAACTCCTGAAATATTTTTATTCTGGAAAAGCTCTTCAAGAAGGCCAGTCCTGAAAGGGGTCACATAAGCTCAGAAAGAGCCAGGAAAAGACCATGGGAACAGAACATCAATTCTTACCATCCCCTTCATCCACCACTGCTCGGATGACCACAGGGAACACACCACGGTCCAAGTCAAAGTTCAGCTGAGGGAAAGAAATGAGCTGAGGTTACACAATTCTCACCAGACCTGCCTGAAGACAACACTGGAGATCAAGTTAGCTCAGTGAAGGGCCCTTCTGACAGACCCCCAGCTCCTGATCTCAAAAGGACACGACAGAGTAGGAGGCCTTAAAATTCCAGGCACCAACTTTAAAAAGGGAGTCAACTCCAACATACACACATTGATGTGGCACTAAACAGCAGCAAAGCAAGGCAGAAGATCTCTGTTGGGATTTCAAATAGTATTTAATTCTCATTAATGCATGGATCCTAAAAGTCTTCCGAGTGATTTGTAGTAGGACAAGTTTCTCAAAATATATCCAGTGCCACAATTTTGCCTCCATACAACAGGATATATTTGCCTCAGCACAGCAGCACTTTGTACTCCCAACACCACAAAGAGACCCTGGCTCTGGTATGGAGCTCCTGAAGACATAAGAGGAAAATCTGCAAAGCTTCAAACTCACACAACACTTTAAGGAAACACAGGACTGATTTTCATCTCTTGGCATGTTGTGAAATGCAGGTCCTTGAGCCTCTAATTGGTGAGAGTGAAAATCTGAGTGCAAGGGAAACAGTCTCAGTTTCTCCCTTTGCCTACACTTCATTAAAGCACATCAAAAGCTCTGTATCATCTTAGATATACCAGGAAAAGGCAACCTTACAAACACTGTCCTAAGCCAGGAAAGGAAGTGGCTCAGAGACTGGATTTCTGTTGTTTTTGTTAATTACTGACTTGGATGGTTTTGTCTCATCTCTTGCCAAGACTGAAAAATAGATGTAATTTCACCCTGATGCTCCAGGTAATCTGTTTCCAGTTTCTCCATGAAAACTGAGACCAAATTCCAGGTGCTGCAACACTGTTCAGACAGTGTTTTGGGGTTTCCATCACTTTGCCACAGCCCCAACATCATTTGCAGCCTGATTTACTCCAGTTCCTCAAAAGATAAGCCATTTGAAGGGAAAGTCACATCACAGAACTGAGGTTGCTTGACCATATAAATTCCAGTGTTCTTGAACAAAAAGCCTCTTTAAGGAGCCCTTTAACATTCATTTTTAGGACCCTGAACAAAACTCACTCCACACAAGCCATACTCTATAATTTCCAAGCAAATCAGTAAATGAAGAAGATAAACTTTTATAAAGTTTTTCACAGAACAACCCAACATAACAAACATCACTCTCCCTTCTTCCCCAGCCAAGATCTACGTCATATCCGAGTATAACAGTTAGCAAAAATATGAAATAAATCTGGGGGTTTTGAATAACACCAATAACAAAGCTGGAAAGAAATCTGAAATGTCAATTGCACACAGCTAAGACACTGCCAGCTGTCTCAGATAGAAGTGCTGCATTTTGGTGGCCAGGTTTAGAAGATTTAGGACAAGGATCAATATGTAACACAGAGCTGACATGGGAGGGGAAACTCTTTGGAATCACAGTGCTTGTTCCACATTTTTTCCAGCTCCCAGTAACACCAATGAAAAAAGAAGAAACAAAGGATGCATCAGAACAAGCAAAGAGAGCTGGAAACTCACATTTCCTTTAAGCTGTCAAAGGGATATGACTTTAGTACTTGAGTTAAAACCTTGCTGACAGGAACAAAAGTAAAAATTAAGCTTCTCAATTCTTTAAGAAGAAAGGGAACTGAGCTCTCTCAGACAACAGAAGGGATTGAAAAGCAGCTCTTCAAGGCTTTTTTAGGCTGAACTTGTGAAATCATCTATTGGCAGAGAAGCCAAGACATCAGGAGACCAGACACTGCAGGCTCTTGGTAACCACCACGGCATTTAAGGCACGGGACTGATTATAGTTGTAACTGTAACTTCAGGACAATAGCTATTCAATCTTTCAAATACATGAAAGATTACTCTTTTTTCTTTTTTTTTTCTTTTTTCTTTTTTATTATTTTTTTAATAGGTAGATTATCTAGCAAGTTTCACATACACAATACACTTGCACAGGCTTGGGTCAGAAATGACCACCATTATCAGTGTGCACTACCTGGGAGAGGGGTCCACAGGAACAAATATATTAGCAGTAGCTACAGAACAACTACTCTACCTTTGAAATCTCTTACCACAATTCTGCACAGAGCAGGGGAAAGACCAAGGCTTTCCTTCCCTATGCCATGTGCAGGGGAAGCCCTTGGGTGAAAGTTTTAAGGCTCAGAAACAAGAAGCTTACTGCCCATGTTGGAATTTTGCAGATACCAAATATACCAAAATTAACAGGACTCTGCAAATCTTGGTATGCAGAAAAACCACAAACCTTAATTAAAACCAAGTCCTGGTCTGTTTGCAGTTATGGGTTAAATTAAGAAGAGGAAAACATTCCCTTATTCAGCATTGATGCACCAGTGTAAATCTGCCCCAGAAGGAGAATATCCCCTCACAACACTGTACTGTTACAGATAACAGTGCAGGATGTGGCCCTTTAACAGAACAGAACTCTTGCAGAGCAGTGGTCTCCAAATTATTCTGACTATTCATCCCATCAGTAATGTGTTTTGAGCACATATTCCCAATATATGTGTGCTTATCATCTGTGGTTATATACACATGGTTCTGAAGTCCTTGCCACACCCCAATGAATTGTATTGCATGCACCTCACTTTGGAGACCACTGTTCTAGAGGACCACCCAAAAAACCCCAAAATCTTACAACTAAAACCCACAAAAACCGAGATCATGACAGACATTTGCTCCCACAAGCTCTTTGGCTAGCAGGGAGAAGAAGGCCAAGGAAAGCAGGTTTTCCAGAACAAGCTCCAGTGGCAATCTCTGCAGCCTCCCTCATAAATCAGCTGATCAGTGATATCAAAAGTCACTTCTCTGGATTTCCTCCCAGTTGGTCTGATCTGCCAAGTTCCCATACTGCTCCTCCCAGGGCAGTATCCACAAAACACACTGGAGGAGCTGGGAGAAAGGGTCTTCCAGCCATAACTGCATGGCACTAAACAGAGGCCAGTGCTTCGGGGACAACAGGGTGTGGAAAGAAGGGGACACTGAGAAGATACTTACCTCATCGTCCTTCCACTCTGAGAAATCAATCTTGAAGGAAGGCAGGGAGAATTGCTGGCTTACCCCTCTCTTGTAATGAACTGTCTCGGACTGCAGAGAGGGATTCTTTGTGCTGTATCTGAAGGAAGGGGAGAAAGAAAATTCGCTGTAACAAACGACTGCTCCCTGCCTGGCTCTCGCTCGCTCCCGCCCTTTCAGGGATCACAAGTGGCAGCTCTAAGGGCAGAGCTGGCAGGGGCTGGCAGCCATTCAGTGGGGACACAAAGAGGGAAGGGAAAGGTCAAAGCAAGAAGGTGAGCACAGGAAAGAGAAAGCAGCGCAGACAGGCAAGGTCTGATTGTGTCCATACTGACCTGCCTGGGTGTTGGAGTACAGGGGGGTGCAGCAGCTTGGCAAAGGCCTGCTCCCTAAGTCCATGGCCTAGGCAATGCTGGCTTTAAGCCCAGTACAGTCCTGTTTTCTGCAGGAAACCCAGCAAGAACGAGCTATGACCTAACACTGGGAACAGACAACCCAGCTCGGTGCTGAAAGCTCTCCTGTGCCTCTGTGGGATAGCCCAACAGTGGGAAATGCTGCTTGGCTTCCACCATCCTGCTAAGCCATTCCAATCCACTCCTCCATCCCTCCTGTGCTTCCCCAGGGGTGTTGCAGGGCTACCAACACCACCTGAGAGTCACCAACCATCCTCCACCCCAGCCACCCAGAGAAGAGTCACAATTCTTCCACTGTCTCATAGCTTGTCACTGAAACACCAGCACTGCCTGGCTGGCATAAACATCTGGAATGGGACCACAGCTGCTATCCACCATCTTCTGCACCCTGAGCCCACCTGGTGCTGTCCTCCCTGCCCACTCCCCCTTTCTGGAGGGTGATGTCTTGAGCTGGATGTGCAGAGCCTCTCCCAGTTCTGTCACAGGAGAGGAGGAAGTGAACCCCAAAGCAGGGTGGGAACAGCTGAAGCTGCCTTTACCACCAATTTCTTTCAAATTACCAACTGTGTGCTCAGAGCACACTGACAAACTGGAGAGAAGGTGAGAGATCTCCTGCCCAAGAGACACTGCAGCAACATCCTCCCTCAGCACAGTGACAAGACAGGCTCCAGCTCTACAAGAAAATCCTCTGCTTTTCTCTGGAAAGCTACAACAGTTCTGGCACCCTCTGAGGATCCAGAAGGTCAAGTGTCACAAGATCCACGTTAAATGCTCGAAGGTCGTGACAAAAGGCAGGTCCATCACATGCACTCTGCTCCTCCTGCCAAGGCAGGTGCATTAAGTTATTTATGACTATACCCTCAGAGCCCATTCTGTACTATCTGAAATTGTGCTGCTTTACTAGAAGGTCTGACTCCATCCTTTGCATTTCAAGCATGGTGTGGGGGAGATCAGAGTGACAGGTCTTTTATATGTGAATTACAGAGCGAGCAATTGAGTGAAGTTTTATTTACTGAGTTGTCAAGCACAATGAATAGAGCAAGCCTGTATCTAGCTCCTTTTGTGGTACTCTCAAAGCCTCCCAGCTCTGCAGAGAGGCACAATTCTCCCTCCACAGCTGGGAAAGCAGGAGATGGAAGAGTGACTTATCTAAGGTGACAGCAAGTCAGGAACTTACTGGGAATAAAGTGCAGAGGAGAGAGTGGAGGTGGGAAAGGGGTGTAAACTTGATGCTGCTGAGTGCCAGGAATGCTGGAGGACCTGCATTTACAGCATCAGAAACCCAAACTAGGCTGCAACAGAAAAACAAATAACACTCTTCCAGGGAGGACAGGGCAGAATAATACTCACATTGACTTGCTGCTCTCACCATCCCTGGGAAAAGAAATAAATGAGGAATATAGATTTTCTGAGCTGAAGAGCAGGACAAAATTATTAAGGAGGGTTCTCCAAGTGAGCTTTATGCCTCAGACTGTGTGACTGCCTGGCCCCCATTGCCAAAACACATCAGACTTGGATCTGAACACCCAGGTAACTCTGAACAGCTGCAGCCAGCAGCAAGTCTGATGGCCCCTGACTGACAGAAATGGATCATCCTTCCAATGGGGTGCAAAGATTCTCTGCACAAGACAACACTCAACACTCCCTGTGTTACACAGGAGGGAAACTTGATAAGCTGTTTCAAAGCAGATATCCTGCATATCAGGGTCTAAGGGGCCTCTACCCATCCCCTGTCCCTCTGGGTGGCATCTGCTGTATTCACAGTCATCTATTCCCTGCCTGTGCTGCTGGGGGCTCACAGCAAACAACAGCAGGGAAGCTCTGTAGAGCTGGGCAGATGTGTTACAGAAAAAGAGAGCATGTTTCAAAGAATAAAGCACAGCAGAGAAGCAACACGCTGCCTCTCTCTGCATGAGGTATGAAAGCTGAATGTTTGGGCTGCTGTTGCTCAGACTGCACTGGGCCTGGTCTCCATCCAGAGGAGGACAGTGTGACCACTGGCAGCTCAGGACAGTGGAGAAGTGAGGGGAGTCTGTCCTATAAGGTCGGGACAAAGCAGAAATCCTTGGTGACATTATTTTAAACCTGTTTGTTTGCTCAGGTACCCCTGGCAGCACGAGAATCACAAGCAACCTGAGGTACCCCACTGCTGGCTGCAGCAGCAGCCCCCAGCTCTAACCTCAGGGTTCATCATGCAGCCCATCTCCTCCTGTGAGCTCTGTGACACACCTTTACTCACAAAAAGCAAACTACACTCTTCACTGACTCCTTCCCTCCTGTCAAACCTTCTAAATCCAGCTGTGTATCAGAGAACCAGCAGATGAGAGGCCCTGTGACTATATCCCAGTGATTTCTGAGAGAACTGGTACAAACTAAAATTATTTCCCAGTCTCACTCTTCCTCTGTCAGCTGAGAAGTACTCACTGCCTGCACAGAGAAACTCAGTCTGTGGCACCTGCAGCTCCTAAGCAGCTCCCTCATCAAAAGTGCCATGCTAGAGTTTGGCTAAGCAGAATTAAACTCCTGTTGCTACATGCTCACTGAGGTGTTTCCCCCTTCCCTCATCCCTGGTCTGTGCCTGGGGAAGTTCTCAGCAGGGCATCAGTCCCAGCTCCTGCAGATTTCTTCACTGCTGTGCTCCCACTCAGCTGTGCTGGGCACTGGGGCTGTCTTGGGCAGACAAAGGGCAGCTCCTGTTCCCACAAGCACACTGGAGCCCTGACTGAGAAGTGCCACATGAGGATCTTTGCCAGGCTGCCTGACTTACACAGAACACTGTCCAGACCCCATTCCTCAGGAAAAGCAGGATGCATGGAGCAGTGTTGCCCCTAAGTAACACTTTTGACTAGAAATGGCTGAGAGAATCTGTGCTTTGAAGAGGCTGTAGACAAGAGTCCTTCTTTAGTAGCAGGTAAATGTGTTTCATGGCAATCTGTAATGAACCAAGGACAAGGAGAGAGCTTCAGAGGGTACTCAGGAAACAATTCTGCCACTGCCAAAGGCTGTGGCTACCTGGCAGGCTCTGTGTCCTCCTATAGGTGATGAGGAAAGTCAGTCAAGTTCTGCTGCTGTTCAAAGGGGACAGGAGGTGATGTGGAACAAGTATCCTCTCCTCCTCTCTCTCCCACCTGCTCATTCCCCTTTCATTCTGAGGCAGGATCCCACAGGTCAGTTTTTGGGGAAGAGAGAAGTTGAACAAATGCTTCAACTCTCAGTGACTTTTACTGATAATAGAAACACTACCAAACTCCCAGTCAGAATCAGACAAGATCCCCCCCCACAGAGGCTGCCACAAGGACTTTGGAGGTTAATTAGGTGCTAAGGCATTGCACTTGAAATCTCTGAGACTCTTCTCCCCTCCTGCTTCCTTCAGGACCAAGTTTCCACTCCAAGCCAGGCAAAGACAGCCCCCCCTCGTGCAGCTGATACCCCAGTGCCCACATTCCCCTTCAGCCCCTGCAGAGCTCTGTCTCCAGCTGCTGGGAGCACCATGCTCCCAGCTCCAGCCAGGCTTCAAAGCTCACACAACAGCTACACAGAGAGACAAAGGCCACAGCTCTTAAGACAGACAGAGGGTTTGTCTGCTTGCTGCAATCTATAGAATTTGGCTCTCCAGCCTGTGAACTCTGCACACTCCAGTGTTCCCTTGGGGACTGGTGTGTGCCTGGATCAAAGCCATAAGGGTTTGTTCCTAGCAAAACCCAGCACTCACCTCTGATTTCATCACACAGAAGAACCCTCTGCACAAAGAATTCATATTAATCACCACAGCCAAAAGCAGCAAGAGCACCTTTCAAAGGCCTGAACAGACAGAGGCCACTAAATAACCAAAGGAATATGAGTGCCTTTGTCTCCTATGCAAGCTTGAATGAAAACAGCCGTGTACTGAGCCACCCGTTGGATTTCATTTTGGGACCCAACTCTTCCAACTTCCACACACAGGCAGAGCAGGGAATCACTGCAGTGTCATGTCCCCCATCAGCTCAGAAGACTGTGGGAGGAGGTTTGGGATCAGTGCAGCGGGCATTGCAAAACAAACAAGGAAATGGGGTTTATTTTTTTAATAAATCCATTTGCACATCAGCAACACAAACAGCACAGCCTGGAAAGGGCAAGGATTGCAGAGCTAGACTGACCTATTTTCATTCTGTTTTCTCTTTATATTGAGAAAATAGAACTTGGCAACCGCACTGGGATATGGGAGAGAATCTTTTCTGTCCAAAAAGGAAGATCTTTCTCATAAGAATGGGCTGCAAGACTCAAAGCTCTCACGTCATATTTATCATGAGTTCCTGATTGCTGGATTGCTCATGCTTTCAGAACTGGCTCTTTTAAGTGCTTCCAGTTCCAGGCTTGGTTTGACTTCTTCCCCTGAGGAAAGAACCGCTGCTGTCATGTTTGAACTGCATAATCCTTCCTGCTAGTCAGCAGGACACCTACAGCTGGAACAGTCCCAGGGGCCCTCCCAGGAGCAGGCTAATGGTGTGCACATCCAGGATTTTGCCAGACAAGGCAGGGATACACTCATAAAAAGAGAATACAAATATCTCTGCAGCCTGATCCAAAACGCACTTGTCTCCTAAACCAAGGGTATCTAAGGTACAAACACATGAACCAGTTACTGCAGGAGAAGACAGGCTGCAACTGGGAGTCTTTTAACTATTCACTATGAGCTGCTGCCAGCCCCACAATGGAAATGCAATGCAGAGTACCCTCTCCTTTATCTGGAGGGAAATTACATTATGGGCAACCACTAGTGAGTAGTTGAGGCACACTCACACACCTCCAAGTTCCTCCTGATTTCCAAAACTAGAGAAAATGGACACAGCCAGAAAAAGAAATAAAACTGAAGATACTGGGTGGGGAGAGTCTTGAGCTTCAGAGGCAGGTCAGTGCTAATTCCTTACCACTGAAGAGACTTGGACATAGGTATATCTGTTACCCTTGGGGTGGTGCACTAGCTTATCCTCTGAGAACTGATGTGTTTCATATTTAGACTGAGTTCTCACCACAAAGTAACCAAGCAAAAGGCACTTCAAAGGTGAGAGAAGCAGTCCTCCCAGATTTAAACTAATTTATGTTTCATCCAAAAGGCTTCTACACATATCTGCACTAGTACCAAAAAGTGCAGGGTACCTTCCCCTGGGTATGGTGCTGCAGAGGTGAACACATCTTTATAATCACCAATACAATCACATTCACCAGACCTTGCTGGTCATCTGTGGTCCCACAAAAGTGATGACACAGTTCCCTGTGAGTTCAGCACTTCAGGACAAGAAGCATGCAGCTGTTGGCAGCTATGTGTTCCCAGGATCTTGGCTAGGAAATACTACAGTTGAGTGTATCTCCCAGTACAATTATCTGGGAAAGTCTGCTGAACATACTTTGAGACAGGTTCGGATAGGACTGACAAAGCCACCAGCTTTCAAATGAAGCCCAAACTCCAGGAGGAAGCTCCCTGGCTTGCAGAAAGCCTTTCCCTTGGTCATGAAAACCAGCTAATCCCAAAGCCAGGCCCACGACACAGTGCTGTGGCTCTCAGGTGAGCAGAGGCTCCACAACAAGCAAAGCCACTGCTCAGGGAGAGCCACCTTCCCTTCTCTTCCCTCCCCTCCCTCCTCTCACCCCAAACTGCATGACCACAACCACCTGGCAGGAGTTTTGCAGGAGTGCTGATACTATCAGGATCAGTGGCTGTTCCAGCAGGGAAGCAGGAATAACTTGTTTAGCATTTCTAAAGAGCCATGCTGCGGGCTGAGAGCTGGGAGAAAATTCCTGCTTTTCACAGGAGGCCAGAAAGTTTCTCCCATTTTAGGATTCAGCATTAATTTAGGAGAGTGGAAAAAAAAAAAAAAAAAAGGTGTTTTGTTTTAAAGAGCATCTTCATCCCAATCAAGTGCAATAGAAGAAGTGTTGAATTTACACACAGGACAGCTTTTGCACATGCTTGTTCCATGAATGCAGCTGTTAGCACCAAAAGAGATTGAGGAGAAGGAAAATCCACCAGCCCAGGCAGGGGAAAGCTGCATTCCTGTCAGTGCACTGAAATGCACTCGCTCCACTCAGAGCTCTAGGAATGCAGCCCAGATTTTTTTTTTCCACTAGAATTTGAAAAGAATAACTCAAAGTAATTACAGCACTGCCCTTACAGAATTGCTTTGCAAAGCTGAAATCAGAGCTTCAAAAGGTTTTTACTAGCAGCCAGCAAATCCAGAGAAGCAGAGATGCCTACTTGGGCAGCTGCACTGGCCCCAAGACGTGCTTCAGGAGCCACTTCCACATGGAAAAATAGCCTGGGTTGAATTAAAGCAGCTTATAAAGTCTATATTTGTTTCTGACTTCCCCCCTACACATCTGCACGAAATCAGGATCATGCCTTCCAAAAAGTTTCCTGGCTTCTGGTGCAGCCCCTGCACCCACATTTACATAACATTTATTGTTCAAGCACCCCAGAGCAGACACAGGCAGTTCATCATTCCTGTACTATGGAGAATGAAAGTATGATTTATTAAATGAAAAAGTGGAAGAAAGAGCTGAATGTGGGTGCTTTGACCTTTTAGAAGGTTTAGTGCACCAGGGACTGTTCCCCCCAGCAGGACAGCACAGACCCATTGGCTGGATTTCCATTAGTGGGGAAATCACTGTTGATCCTGGTTTCATGCAGAGGGCTCAGGAACACAGGCTTCAGCTCTGCCATCTAACAGACATCCCTCTCTCACTCAACCATGGACAGGGTGGATTAAAAAAATTCACATTTAAAAACAAAATTCTTTGAAGTCAACAGCTCTGTTTATGTACAGAAACTCTATCTACGAATTGCTCAAATTTAATTTAAAAGCCATTGGGTAGTTCATGTTTGCTGCACAAGTTGTAAAGGACAGATAACAGCACTGGTGACAGTCACTAGCTTGGTGCATGGCACTAAATTTCAGGAAAAAAGTGTTCTTAAGTGAACCAAAACCTCTTTTCTTCCTCCAACCAACCACCAAAAGGAGAGCTACTAGTTACAGAGGACTGAAAACACTCTTTGTCCAGAAACAGTTGGTTATATTTGGTAACTAAAACAATTCTATTAAGCAATTATTCTTCAAGGCACAACTTGACAAGAGAGTCTCTTAAGAGTGCAGCATGAGTAGTTTAACCAACAAGAACAAACACTGTTGGTCTTGGGTCACCTCAGGTACAATTCCAGCCCAACACAGCCTGGTTCAAGACGTGGGCTTTAAAAAAATAATTTAAATATTTATTTTTAGAATAACTTTGGGTTATTGCCATTTTGGCATAAAATACAAAAGCGGGAGTCTGAAAAATAGATTTTAAACTATATGGATATTCTTTACAGACTGTGGCATAAAAAATACAGCACAAGGTTTGATATGAAGCTCACTGTGCTGTAGATACAGATGTTTCATTGCTACTGACCAATGCCAATGAAATTCTCCTTCAGGATAAACTAACAGGGGAAAACAAGATCAAAATCAATGATTTAAACCAAGCCTTACTGATTTGAGCCATGGCTTAAGTCTAGCAATGTACATACATCCACCCTGGCCACAGAGGCCCTCAGTTCTCCCCATCAGCCCATGGTTGGTTTCCTTCTTAGGTCAAAAACCAAGGAACACTGCAGGGCAGCACCAGGGACACTGGCCACCTCTCCACGTTGTACCTGTGTTAGGGAAAGAGGACTTCAATCTCCAAGGCTGCCATTCCAACACCTTCACTAGCACTAAATTCACAGGAAACCTAAGGACCTAAGAGACAGAACATGGAAACTTTATCAGGATTTCTAAGGCTGTATTCAGCTCTGCTCTGGAAAAGCTGGATCTAAACATAAAGTATATTCAGAGTTTGTTGAGAGATAATTTTCACACACTTTAAAAAGGAGCTCACTTATTACCTCCCCAGAATAAAGGCAGCCATTGGCTTCAGTAGATGAAGGGAAATGGGCCTAAACAAAAATTCTGGATCAGGGTATCCTCCAGTTTGAAGGAATGCATATCTGGACTGGAGAATTGAGCTACTCTCATTTCTAAAAATACACTATTCAGTGATCATTAGTGGGATGTTTATACTTCGCATAAAACAAAGAAGCCCTTTTATGGTTTGCCATAGATATTTCTACCTGCTGAAGCCTCTGCAGGTCCCTTCAACCAAGGCAAAGTTTAGCCCCAGCTCCAGAGCATCACTGCAGAAGCCATCAGCACTATGTCCAGGAGCCTCTGGTCAGCCAAAAGCCTCTACTAGAGGAAGCCAAGAGCTTCTGCAGCCTGAATCTTCCTTTACCCTTGGAGCCAAAGGAATTCTTTGTCCCATGGCCATTGGAAATGCACCACACCGTATCAGCAGCTCACACCAGGCAGAGCACATCCCAGCCACCTTTGCTCTAACATAGAGAGGAAATTTTTCATAGTCTTGTGGGATACAGTGCTGACTGGAATGGTTTAAATGTGCTGATTTAGATAAAAAGGTTTTAAATTCTGGAGAGATGTACTATCAGGATATGAGACGGTTCCCACAATAGACATTTTGGTCATTCTTTCCACAGCTAAACAAAGACTAATATCAGGAAAGATGGCATGGAAACACATACAGACAGGGCTTCAGGAAGTAAATCCTCTCCATCTCCTAACACCCAGTGTTGAGCTGGGCATTTATCCCAAAGTGGGCTTTGGGTGGGCCTCAGTGCCACAGACTTTCCCTGTTAATGTCAGACTGAACTTTACTTTGGTGGCCCAGATGCTCCTGTCACAGGGAACACAGATAGACAGTGAATTGGGTGATCTAGGGAAAAAAAATAGGTAGTATTTGAAGGGAAGGGTGGTTGGTTTTTTAATTTCACAGAACACTTCATTGACAAAACATACAGCTGTGAGTTCCTCTCCTTTGTTGCACACAGAATGGTTTCCCTATACCCTTAAACCAAACCTAAAAGGGAACAAGAGAAGATATTGACTATGTGAGGGAGTTGAAAACAATATTCAAAGTTATCTGAAAAAAAAAAGAAATTTCCCACTCTACCATGTGTGGCAACCCTGCCTCAGGGATGATTAATGAGAGATGTGTGATAGCTCATCATCCCAGCTCCTGTGCCACTCCATGTGCCCACTAGCCCAGGACTTACACGGCCATGCCACCAACAAACTCCTCTGTAGCCTGGCAGTAGATTGTGATGGCAACACGGGCATCTGCATCAAAGGTGAACTCCAGGCTGTACAAGACCTTCTGCTTCCCATTCTCCTCAGTAGGGCTGTCAACATCATCTTTATACCTGAAAGACAATGCCAGAGGATTAGAACACATCTTTATGAGGTATCAACAGGATCATTCTGGAAATAAAGACAAAACTACTCCAGCCTTGGTGTCCCGGGCAGGCAAAGCAGCCTGGGCTTCCATCTTGCCCTTCCCAGATTTCCATTCTTTCCCCTGAAGAAGTTTCTTCCAAGATATGACTGAAGTTATTAAAGTGAACTAACTATGGTGTTGAGAGATCTAACCGAGCCTTACAGTGTCAGGACACAGAATGAGACAAGAAAGGGAAATCCTGAATGTCAAATACTGAGGAGAAGAAACATTCTCCTTCCTTTTAAATCTTCACATTAGGCTCAGTATTTGGCCTAACGAAATCCTACATGGACTTGAGAAATCTTAAGTGTAATTCTTTTAACTCTGCAATGAAATGGTGTGAGACAGGCAAAACAATCAAAGTTTCTGTAATACAAAGAACTCCTGAAGCTTGACAAAAAGTACCTCCAGTATCACCCAGAAGATGATATTTAGCTCAGAAAGCATCCAGATATAGGAACTTCAAACACCTTTAAATGTACAAATGATCAACTAAACCTCTGGTGCTGTGAAGGACTGGAGCTTGCACACATTTCCTGTATGAACAAATTAACACATCCAGCTGCAAACAGACACATGATAACCAATAGAATGAGGTTAGAAGTTATTTCAATTAACATAAAATTGAGACCTAATTTGGCTACAGGGTCCTGCATAGCTGGATCCCACTGTGTGATCACCACTGCCAGGGTTACTCCTTTTCCCTATTGCAGGAAGAAGCACAAATCCATTGAAGAGGAGGACTGAAGCCAGCTCTGGGGCAGTGAGATATTGCCATGGGCCAGGGGGACTTACAGAGTGCCAGGAGTGGCCAGAGAAACCAGCAGGCCTTGGAACAAGCAGCCAACACAACACACCACAAGAAAATCACAGAATGATGGAATATCCTGAGTGGGAAGGCACCCCCAAGGATCATCCAGTCCAAGCCCTGCTCCTGTAGAGACACCCCAACAATCCCACCCTGTACTGTGCACTGTCTCCTGGCTCTCTGGGCTCTTGGGGGCTGTGGGCTTTTCTGGTTTCTTGGGGCGTGGGCAGTGCCCTGTGCCTTCTGTCTGGCCTGCCGCTTTCCTGTGTCTTGTCCCTGCTTTCGCTGTTCCTTTCCCCTGTCGCAGAGATTGGAGCTGCCCCTGGGGAGGAGCTGCAGCCCACCCTGAGCTCTGCCCTCAGTGTCCTCTTCTCCTGAACTGACCAAGCTCCCCCTGCCTCGAAGAGCAAAGTGACAGAAAAATGGATGTGATTTACTGGTAGGGCAGCAGCAGCTTCTCCAGAAATTCAAATTCCATTACCACAGGTAGCACTGTGAGCTCAAGTGCTGTGTGGGAATGGTGAGGGCAGCAAGGCTGCTTTTGAGAGGTGTAACAGCACTGACTTGTCATCCAGCTCCAGCCTCATTTTTTTATCAGTAATACTTTTATTGCCATGATGTCTGGGTCATAGCCAAGCAGCTGAACTATTCAGGAAAAGCTTGGCATCCTCTGTCTTCACAGTATCAGCCTCTCCCCTCATTAAACAGTCCTGATGAATACACTGTACTGTCAAAAATGCCCAGAAATGGGTCAGACATACCTCCATAATTCAATCTAAAATTGTCAAGGGAATCCTTATTTACCAAGTTCACTGACAGCAACTGCTGACTAATTAATAGGGTACCAGGTTGAATTTTATTTAACACCACACTGAACAAGAATGAAATTTTTAGTTTCAGTAATTTAATACAGAAAGTGCAAAATAAAATTTAAGAGTAGTAATCAAATACTCAACACACGTATTTGTACTAATGTAACCCCAGTGAGCCACTACAGCACACACACACATTCCTGTCTGAAGGGCTTGGAGAGGCTTTTGACAGAGGTTCACCTAGGTCAGAGCAGCAAATCAAGCTAAAAACACCCAA